ATATGTTCTATACCTATTTTTGATAGTGAAAAGACATGAAGTGATATTCTTAGTCAATATTATGATTTTCAAGACATTTGGAAATGAAAAATATGAATGTTTTTTTAAAGCATCAATTCTATTATTATTCAATTGATTTATAAATAAGAACTCAATCACCATTTTGATTGATGTATAACTTATTGCAAAATAAGTTAGTTGCATTAAAAGAATATATTGACAAGAACTTAATTAAGAATTTATATGCCATTCAAAATCTTTAATATGTGTTTTTATCTTATTATGAAGAAAAATGATGGATCTCTTCAAATGTTCATAAATTACTAATGACTTAATAAGATTACAATAAAAAATAGGTATCTTTTACTTATGATTTTGGAACTTCTTTAATAACTCAATCAAGCAAAAATCTATACAAAAATAGATCTATAAAGAGCATAAAATTTGATCCACATCAAAGAAAGAGATGAATAAAGGACTGCTTTTTGAAGTGGATATGGACATTTTGAATATAATGTCATAGCTTTTGGACTCAAAAATATACTAACTGATTTTCAACATCTCATGAATGATATTTTTTGTGGATTTCTTGATGATTTTATTGTATATTATTTAAACAATATTCTAATTCATTCTAAGAATATAAAAAAATATAAACTTTATATTTGTTGTGTTTTACAAAAAAATTAAAAATACAAAATTATATACGAAGATAAAAAAGTGTGTATTTCAAACTACTCAAGTTGACTTCTTAAGATACATTATATGCAACAAAAGGCTAATGATAGATCTAAAGGAGGTCTAAATTATCATAGAAAAGAAGATTCTAAAAACAATAAAAAATGTGCAATATTTTTTGGAATTTTTTAATTATTATTGAATCTTCATTAAGAACTTTTTTCAAGTTGCAATTCCACTTATATAATTGACTTATAAAGATAAATTTGAATAGAGTAAAGATATTGAATATTTTGGAAAGAAGACAAATGCCACTTCCTCCTATAAAAATAGGTAATAATCAAGAATTTGAAGTGGAAGAAGTCTTAGATTGAAGGTGGCTCCAAAATAGGTTGAAATATCTTATTTATTAGCACAAATATGATATTATTGAATGTATATGAGAGCCAATAAAAAATCTTATAAATACAATAAAAAAAATTGAGGCTTTTAATCAATGACATCTATCAAAACTTAGATAAAGAATAACAAATCTTTGCTATAAAAAAAATAAGATTTAAGAAAGATATCATTCTACTATTTATTCTTATTTGTAGCTTTTGTGTATTTTTAGTACTAATGAGATGGAAAATCAACCAACAAATTCAACTCAAGAATTATCATTTGTTGACTTATTAGACAAGATATTGTAATTGTTACAACCTTCAAGATTAAGTTATTGAGATGAAGATCCTCAAAAATAACATATTCATTTCTAAATGAATGGCAAGATACAATGTATTTAATATCATGACCTTAGAAGAAATTTTTAATGTTTGTTAATTTTATTAAAAGTAGAAATGATTCTTAATGGTGTTCCAAAATTTTTATTTACAAGAAGTTATAAAGGTCTTCACAATGATCAAATAATAAGATAATCTTCTCACGTTAATATAAAATACTATTAATGGCTAAGAAGACCTATCAACCATTTTTAAAGAGAAAAAAGATCAAAGTATATAGTAAACACAATTCACTGCTCTTATAATATGTGTTATCTTATTTGGAAATGTATTATGCATTTGGCTATGGAAGGTGAAGTTGTGATTTACAAATATCCAAAAAATCCTAATAGGTTTCATCTATATAAGAAGAATGCAATTCGAATTTTAATTCGAAAGTGCTTAAAACTAATATAAAGTATTCGAAAACACTCTTCTTAATAATCTCAACTATACATAAACTCCAATTACCTTATTACTTTCATAATTATGTAATTTTGATTTTTCTTTACAAGCCTTAATCATAATCACTGAGTTTTAGCAAGCTATAACTCATAAGCTGACTATCCATTTGATGTAAGATTTTGCATATAAATACTATTATAATTCTTCTATGTGCTTAGAAAAATTTAATCTAATCTAACTTACAAATTATGAAAAAAAGCCTAAAAATCACACTAATGTCATTTGGCTGCCAATTTGAAAGTTGATGCAGATGTTCCAATGGTAATTTCTCCTTCTCTAATTGTTAACTTCAACTCAAAATTGGTATGTAGCTTGATCTTGAAGTCTTCTAATACCATGTCAAATTTAACTTTTGAAATAAGCTTGAAGCTAGCTTATAAATCTCAATTAACAATCTTTGAATGAAAACATACTTTGTCCTAGGCGGCCATTTTAGTCGTTGGAGGTTTGATTACAACATTGTCCCACAAATAGTTGACCCTTGGATATCAATCCAACCTATTTTAGGAGTATTTTTAGCTTGATTCTATCATCAATTTAATCCTAATATTAACCATACTGATTATTTACCTTTTTTATTCTATTATTACTAATTTATGGCCTTTTTAAGACACTAAAAGAAATTCTACAGTCTAGAAGATAAAATTACTAACCAACTTTTAATCTACTAGCTATTAAAAAAATAAAAATAAACTAAGAAACTTTTATAAAAGCCATGTTTAAATGTCTTGAATTATTATTGAATTAAAATAATTAAATATTAATTAGAAATTAATTTTTGATTATATTTTCATCATATAATTGTATTACAATATGACAACACATATTGGATTTTTTCAACATATGATGACTGTTCTTTATGGAATTTATCCCTAGAAGGAGGTGGTAATGTCATAGATGTATATATTTATTTTAATAATTATCTATATAATTAGATAGAAGTATATAAAAGTAAATTAATTTTATAATATCTTTTAGAAAAGCCTTATAGATGTTATTTTGATTTTACATATATTTGTAGTTAATTGATAGATTTGAAACTTTGTCAACAAGTAATCCACATGTCACACATATTAGTAGCTTATGGAACAAGCTAACAATGTGGTACATACATAAAAAACTTGTCTTGGAAGTTAAGACATATGTCTTGTAAAGTCAACATGTTTTTGAGGTCCTATAGAACATAGCCACATAGTTTCTAGATAGATAGTATATATGGAGGCAAAAATAAAGCCTTCTTTATTCTTGTCAACGCCTTTATAGTCCTTAGTCTTATTTTAAGACTTTGTAGTCTTCTTGTCTATGGCAATAGTTATTCTAGTTTAATATTATATCATCTTTGAATAATTATCTAGCCTTTTTGAGTGACATAAGAATGTGTTGATCTCTATTCTTTAAGATTCATGTCCTTAATAAACCTATTTCAATTACAAATTACTATAAAATGTGTTGATAATTTTTTTTTGCAATTATTCCTAATACTAAATTCTTTAATGATACATCTTCAGGTTGGAGCAAATTGGTAGAGATCCAAAAATATAGATACCAAAAAATCAAAGAAGTTTATAATTCTATGTGAACAATATATTTGAAATCTACAACTTGTCATTTGTAAATAATATCAATATCTACACTTGGTATTTTTACATTGGATATTATAGAAATTGGAACTATGAGACGTTTTCAAAATATTTCTAAAAAGGCATGTAATCTCTCTTTAATGTCATCTTTGTTGAGATATGTGTAATGAATTCTTTCTTGCCTATTTGTGATAAATTGATCTCATCTTTGCCAATATATGTGTAATGAGTTCTTTCTTGCCTATTTGTGATAAATTGATCTCATCTTTGCCAATATATGTGTAATGAGTTCTCTCTCGCCTATTTGTGATAAATTGATCTCATCTTTGCCAATAAATGTAAATATATATATATATATATATATAAATATTTATATCAAGAGAGAGAGGCAATGCTTCTCTTTATCTTCCTTAAAATTCTACATTTTTACATTTGAACCTAGATTTTATTCTATATTTGACATATTTTATGTCATGATTTTCAATAGGTCGAGCTTGGCTTTTTACATCCACTGTGTGCATCCATTTATTGTGCAATAATCTTATTTTTTTTCCTTTTATATTATTGGTCAAGTATGATGACAGATGGTGGGTATTCATTGATTTTGTGTCACTAGTTTACATGGAATAGACATCAACATTGGGGTGGTAACCAAAAGTCCATCAGCAAATGAAAGTTCCAAGCATTAATTAGATCAGGATTATGTGGAAGTCAAGATTTCCAGCAAGAGAATTTGATTTATGTGATTCTTACAATATATGAAAAATTTGCGACATTACATTATGAGGATTTCCAATACCATTTTCTAGGGGTGGATGCCATAGATTCCGCAGGGGCTGTAGATGTCGAGTAGTTTCCATATGTAATTGATGAGCATTGTAACAATACTGCAATTAACTCAAAAAAATATAGTATACTTTACTAAATTAAACACTGGTATTGTATCGTTGCTAATGTTTCCTTGGGTGTGGATGGAGGGATATTTCTATATCATGCGTGCTTTAAGAGTTTTGTGCTCTTATTTTATAAAATTTATGAATCGTTGTTTGATATGAGATGAAAATGTTTAATAATATGTATTTAACACTAGAAACTATCCCAGAAGAATAAAATATGTCATATATATTCTGCAATGACTGTTAACATGTCATTCATTTTAAAGGATGACTTTACGATCTACGCAATGCACATCACCTGCAACAAAGACTTGACTTCTAAGGAAGAGTTATAAAAACAGAGCACAGCGTGACACAGATAATCCAAAAAATATATATGGGATGTATTTATCACTTGTTACGTTCCATCTATTCGTTTTCAAATCGTCAACATCACGCACGAGCATGATTCAGAATGCAAAGCCTGTTTCGATATATCTCGGGAAGAGGACATTCCACCTGCGTATCCGATACAACCGGCCGCACCATGTTCCAAACAGTAGAAGTAAAGTAGCCATGTATACATACATACTGGTAATAGTGGAAAGAGTTACGGGGTGGAAACATGGATGTGGAGCGGAAGGGATTGCATGTGGGCAATGGAAGATTGATTTCATTGCAAGGGGGGAAGAGGGGGCGAGAGAGGTGGATGAAGCAGCAGCAGAGAACGGAACTGCTCTCTGCTCCCCCTCGTCTCGTCTCGATTGCATTGCCCATCCCCTCACACACCTAAACCTCTCGCAGAATCCGATTCGAAGGCATCGCCATTCCACCGCCACCTCTGAACTCGTGGAAGGACTCTTTGTTGTTTGTTGGTGTAATTTTTGTTTTTTTTTTTTTTTGTTTTTTTTTTCGGGTAGGTTCTTGGTTTCGAAGGAGCTGCTCGGGGAGTTTTTGCGCCAGCGCTAGCCAAAGTCAGCCAGTGCTGCTGCAGGCGCAGCAACCACAGGTGAGATTCTGTGATTCTGTTTGGGAGGTGGATTAGGCTTGTGGTGGCCTCGTTGTTTCGATCGTGAACGCGGATTAATAGCAGCAGGAGTGCCGACCTCGATTAGGTTGGAACATGTGGCTTGCAGTGTCCATGGATTGGTGAGGAGGATCTTGTGTGTGTGGCTGGATTTATTAGGGTGCGGAGTTTGTTATTCTTGTTTCCTTCGCACTTCATCGAGGACCGAAGTTTTTTTTCATTCTGGCCGGTGGACAAGTAGATTGTCTCGTTTTCTCCAGAACTTTGTTTGTCGATCATAGCTTTCGCCCGTTTTTGAGACAGGGCAATTATCATTTCCGCCGTGTTTGGTCTCGATGAGCATTTGTTGAAGATTCCCTCTCCCCCGGGTTTTCGTTGCTGGTTCCAGGGAGTTGGCCTTCTTTGACAGTTTATGATCTTGCCTTCGTTTTCATTGTTGGATGCTATGTGCGGATACCATTGTTTTGGGAGCTTTTCCTGCCTGAGCTCTTTGGAATGTGTCCGTTTTTTTTAATTTTCTCTTCTCCTGAGGAGAAAACCACTCGCGATAAACATATTAGCTTGTGGATGTGCTACACGCAGTCTTTACGTGGACTGTATTCAGTGAGGTGCAAAACCTCTGCTTTGATAACACTAAGGCGATTTGATGGACGTGAAGAACGGAAGACTTAAAAATCAGTTCCTTACGTAATTGACCGAGAGGCATCTATAAGAAACTCGGTGTTCATCTGTGTAGTAATAATTTGGTCAATGTTTCACGCTTCAGCGTGACTTCGCCTGTCATTTATCTTTTTGTACATTTCAAATGAGAAGCTTAATATGCTGAGGTTTTCCAGCGCTGTTTTTGACTCTGGATAATTCTTGCGAGTTCGTCCAACTTCGCCATTCCCTGATATGACCATTTGCATTGTCGAGGGTTTTCGTGTTCCTAGTTTTCCTAGATATTTTTGTAGCTTGCGCTGAACCTCAGGTGGACAGTCACTCGATCATCAGCGTTTGCATTGTGATACTCCAGTCGGATTCTTGAAACTTTTGAGAATGGCGAGAAGCCGACCCCTAATTAAGATGTCCAGGGGCATGAAAATGAAGCGCAATGCTTGGTTTATACAACTGTGGTTAATTGCTATTTAAACTGCAGCTGCAGCTCTGACTTCCCATTTGCATGCAACAAGTGATGTCTATTTCAGTTCTCTTACTCGATTCTCTTGTATTTATTTCTTTTCTTTCTTTTCGTTTTTTCTTTCTTTCTGTCTCATCAGAATACACCATGGAGACTCCTTCGAGTCCACCTGTGAAAGTCGAAACCGCATCTGTGGAAGAAATTGTTGGCCACCTTCCTGGAGCTCAGTCGTTACCTGACGGTTTCTCAGTTTCAGAAAACTTTCCGGAAGTTACGACCTCAGGAGTTTCTGATATCTCTGAAAGAAGCAGGGAAGATGCTTCTGAGAATTCGGCTGCACCTGAAAAGATTGGTGGTTCCTTGGATATTAGCACAGGCGTATCTCAAGGAACTGAAAATGCTTCGCTTGCAGATCCACTTGAGCCTCCCTTGGGGCCTTTGTCTTCTGAAGCTAAGGTGTTATTATCTTCATCAAAGATGAGTGAGACAGGTGCAGGCCACTCTTCAGAACAATCAAATAGAGAGAAAGAACTACTAGCTCTTACAGACTTTCCTGTAGATTCCACTGCGGACCTCCCAGCATCAGTGACTAAGTCATCGGAGAAAGTTAGAACGTTTCCAGTGCCTCTATCGGAGGGTGAGGTTGCTTCTCTTGTTGAAAGTGATGCCGATTCTCAAAAAGACGGATTAAGAGGACCTTTATTATTTGGAGTTGACACTAGTACCAAGGTGATGACTGGCAATGAAGCCGCTGTTGGAGGAAATGCTGAAAGCGGTACTGATAGTGATGGAGACGATAGTGACAGACCTTCAAGCTCTCAGACTAGTCATCTTTCTATGGCCACCACGCGGAGAGACCCAAATACAAATGATGAACCATTACAAGACATGTTGGAGTTGAAGATTGCTGAATTAGAGGTTGTTAGTACCGGGTCATTGAAAGTAGATGATGAAGCATCCAAAAGGGGTGAGCTGATCTGTGTTTACTATGTATGCTATTTGCTGTTCGTGACGGTATTCCCGAGCTGATGCATATGTACTTATAAAGATATTTTGTGCCCTGTTGATCTTCCTTTTGGAGTTTCTGTCATTTTAATCTATGCGCTTGGTCTGGATTTCTTACAACTGCAATATAATATGTTATTGCTGATGAATGGGCGTAGCAGCTAAAGCAAGGAAGCGACAAGTGAAGGAGGTGAAGGCTATGCTTGATGGGACTGAGCGAAATCCCGATGAGAAACTGCGGCTTCTAAATACGAAGTATTTGCAGCAGGTCCGCCACTTTTTCTTTTTTCTTTTTTCTTTTTTTTTCTTTTTTTTCTTTTTTTTTTTTCCCCTCTTTTTCTTTTAAATTCCACTTTGTGTTTCTTGCGAGGTTTTTTATTTGACAGTCATCCATGCTGACTTCAGTTGGGGTCGTGAGAGGAATGGAACTTACTAAATTCCTTTGGTTTTCGACTCTGTGCAGGTTGCGGAAAACAAAAACTTAGCTAAAGAATTATCTACATTACAGCGGAAGTTGGAGCAGGCCAACAAAGAAAAAGATACTAGTATGTGTTTATTTGAGTAGTTTTATTGAGTATAATGTTCTGTTGGACCGCAGTAACTTGGTCTTGTTCATGGCCTGAACCATGTGGTGACACTCTTTTTTCTTTTTCTTTCAAACTTGTGAAAGGCGTGAGTGACTGTATTTATTTGTTGTACTTTGGGAAAGTTTGGTGTATCTAGGGGTCTGTGTCATTTTTATCAAAAGGTGTAAGAGACCATTTACTCATGAAAGGCATGTTCAATTTTGATACAGTTTATGGGGAATATTCCAAAGCTAGTGGGCTTCGACAGAAGCTGGAGTCCTTGTGTCGAGAACTTCAGAGGCAGAACAAACTGCTCTTTGTGAGTAGCATTCCTTCACTTACTGTTTGAACTGTGGTCTCTCTTGAATGAGCGAATTTATTTTCATTTCTGGGCCCTATTATGTTCTCTTTCTATTGGAACTTCTAGAATTCTTCTTTTCATGGGCCAAGAACAGTAGAAACGAACTAAATTCTTCATTTTTGAATACTCTTCGTATTGGTTTTCTTGACACCACAGGATGACAGCAGAAGGATCGCCAATGAAGAGCAGATGAAACGTCAAGAGCTTTCCACAAAGTTTCATAATACCATCAAGGTAGTTTCAATGCATACTTTTGACAATTAGTCATCGATTAATTAGATCCTAGCGGCGTTTCTTAGTTAGATTCTTATATTTTGTCGGGTGATCATTTATTTCTTTGAATGGACCGTGAATTAAGTTTTATTGAGCTCAATCTCGATCTTTGGCTACATAAATTGAGCTTTAGGCTGAGTTCCATGTCCCTATGTCAAAAGGAATTGTGGATTAAAAGAAGGAGCTCTGACGCATTGTTTGTTTCAATTGTATTGACTGGTACAGGATATTACAAGTAAGTTGGAAGAACAAGGGGATGAGAGACTGCAACAGATCAAAGAGAATGAAATGTATGCACGTCAATGCTGAATCTAGTCTTTTATTATAACCTCCAGTAGTTTTGTTGGACGGCGTACTTATAAATTGTCCAAAACTATATACTAAGATATGCTCTCTTTCTGTAGGTTACGTGAGACACTTAAAGCCCTGACCCAGCAGGTTGAAAAGAGGGATCTTCATTTCAATCATCAGGTATACTTGCTTTTAATTCTCTTTTCTAGATTGGATTTGAATTTTATTATTTTAGCGTATCGACGAAACCTTGTTGTCAGAAAGCGACGAGTGCTTACATTTTTTCTTGAATTCTTACTGTTTATCGTTTCACTTCAATGAATCATTAAGATGTGCTTTTACAGTGTGTTCTTCACCCGTTTGGTTGAAAGATTTAATACTTGGTTAATACTGCCGCTTTTGCTTGAGTTTATTTTAGTTAAAGACGAAGGAGCTAGAGCAGCAGCTTGCCGAGGTAAAGTTGAAGCAGCAGGAGGAGTTGGTTGCGCAAGAAGAATCAAAGTCACGTCTCTACAAGGAGCAGATTGCACACCAACTGAAAGTTGAACAAGATCTGAGGGCTCAACTAGCTCTCTATGGTGATAAGTTTGAGCAATTTCAGGCAAGTGCTTATTCTGTGACCAGTATGTATTGAAAATAAGAAATTATTTCATTTATTTATCTGGTCCTCGTCGCTTCATTAGAATTTTCCGTATGCCTCTTATTACAGCCTCTTGAATCTTCGGCTTCGCTTTTCTGTTTTTGGAAATTAGACAGTCTTAGTTTACCCAAGTATCCCAGGAACTGATCCAGGAGATGGCACTCTGTAATCCCAGGAGACTCTTACAAAGAGTAATGAGGTGTTCGCAACCTTCAAAAAAGAGATGGAGAAGGTTAGTATGGCAATCAAGATGGTCTTACTAAAAAATTTATTCTGTTTTGCAACAGTCTTTCTTAAAAGTTTTTGAGTTCGTTCAATAAAATTGTTCTCATCAGATTCAGGCAGTTTCCTAGTGCCCTTGTAAGCATTTTATTTGCTGGATCAGGTACATTTAATCGACTTAAAGTTAACTGTTCCGTATGTCTGCTTAGATGTCTAAAACGATCAAAAAACTAGAGAAGGAGAATATCGCCCTTAAGAAGAAGGCAGAAAAATCAGATGTCACGGTTATCGAACTTCTGGATGAGGTAACGTACAATTACTTTTACATATTTTAAGCTCACCAGAATACTTGCCAGAATACTTGCAATTGAAGTGGTTTTGTGAAAGAAGTGGTGAAGATGAAGTTGGATGCCGATGAACAATTCTCCCTCGTGAGCTCATGCATGGATACCTATTAGTTGGGAACTGAGCAAGTGTTGAGAATATTTTATGGGTTTCCATCTATGCACCTCTCGTCAGCTGTGGCCTTCGCTATCCACTCCAACTTCACCAGACCCGTGACAAGATTCCTTTTACTTTATCATGGTACCCTCGTGTTTTATTTAGTGTTGTATTTTAATAGTTCTGTTGCAAGGTTCATTGTTTGGAGAAAATCTTGCAGAGGGTTACTTTGAAGAAGCAATTGGAGACTAGCAAAAATCAAAAGGATAGACTCGAGGGACTTTGTCGGTCGATGCAAGCCGAGCGAAAATCTTCTGCTGCTGCAACGTTGCCATCTCAAGCCTCTCTACAGGTAATTGGGAATGATTCCTAGGATTAGAGGCGTGTGAGTTGAACTTAGATGGATGACTAGGTGTTAGTCGGATCGTGTCATAATGTAAATATGTACATACGTTGTTCTGTCGCACTGAATTGTAGAAATCACAGAAAACATCAGTATGATAAGCGAGAAGTAAAATGTTGTCTTATGGGATCTACACTGCAATTGAAGAACGGGATAAGAAATTGTAGACGATAAATAGGCATGGTAAGGTCTAACGCATTTTATTATTTTTATTATTATTCCAAAATGATATATTACTAATTGTTTTTGGAATGTCCTTGGTATGGCAATCCGAGAGTTTGTCCAATGATACCAGGATGAGTTTCAGGAAAGTATGGTGTGTGCATGCGTTTATCATATTTTCCTGTTACCCATCCTGTTCCCCATTCTTTGCTCATGTCTTGGGATGAATATTTTTGCGCGTCCTGTGATGGGGTACAAAGAGTAAATTCGGATAAAGAGTGCCAATGTTATTTGCTATGATTATCATAATGTGAAGTTAAAGTTTATTTGGTTGAAGTATTATTTTGAAAAATTATGAAATAATTATGCACTGCAGTTAAGATGCATAGTTCTCTGGTATTGTGCCCAGCTCCTTGGCTTTGTAATGTCCATATTGTGGTCTATCAGATGCTGTGTACCGAAGAACCACTTACTATTTTTGTAATCCTGATTAGTTGGCTGACAACACAATCCTCACTGATTGCTGCACAAGTATGTATTAATTTGTGTGAGTTGGTTTCTTATTTCAATGACCAGGAAGCAATGAGCGCCGTAGAACCCCAATCACAATGAAATTGATGTACAAGATCTGGAGGTGGTATGACAGTAGTGTCCCCAAGTTTTGTAGGTTAGGAAGAAATGTAGATGTAATGGAAAGAAGGTGCACCTCAAACGAATCAATTTGTGACACGCCTGTTTCATTGAATCTGAACTCTTTCCAGACTGGACTGGATACTGGTATATTTTTCTTGTATCCTTTTTCCACCCCATGCATTATTTTGTCATGTATTATGAAGTCTTGAAAAAAACACATTTCAGTATTCTATTGTGTCAGATGTGTGCTAGTGAGAATATTGTCACTGATATGTCCCATATTTGAGCTCTCTTCTGTTGATTTTTTCTACCAGCAATTCTACTTTTGAATTGGGTTACGAAATCATACCCAGCAAACTCCCAGTGCCAACAATGTGTTCCACAAGATCATGTGACAATCATGAACATTGCCAGTTTGTTTCATCTTTTGAAAATCTTAAAGAGACATAAATGTTAGTTCATTTATGAATGGTGTAATAAACTCGTCATAGAATATTGCCTGAAACAGTCAGTCATAAACCTACTTCTGTTATATATGGGTGAGTGGAAAAACAAAAGACTATATATTCTTTATATATACAATTCTGCATGAGCAGTAGTTATTAAGTTTGCAAGCTCTCCATATATTAATTTTTACTAATTGAGTGCATGATTCATTTGGTATATTAATATTTGGCATCTACAAACAAATTTAACTTCTCTTTCACATCAAAAGTTGCCTTGGAACAAACAAACATGAACTGCATTTGTACATATAACATAGGAACCAATCCCACACCTCACCGTAACTTAGTACTAAATTACTCATAAGTTGAGCAGGTTGTTGAATTTGAGAAATGATTGTTTAAATTTATTAAATGTATATTCTTATCTAACAAACTCGGGATTCAGGTTTAGCAGATCCCTTCACAAGAAGATCAAGGAATTCTAATTATGAACAACGCATTCCTGAAAACCTTTCCTAAGCGAAGTTTCATCTAGATTCCTGCCGATGAATACAATCTTACTGACCCGTTTCTCATCAGGACCCCAATTCCGTTCTGGAGCACCTTCGAGCAAAGCGTGGACACCCTGCAATCAAGCAAATTGATTTCGTTAAATCGAAAAACGTTACAACATAATTTTCAAAAATCCTCTACCAACTAGAAATTGAAAAATATTTGAGATTTTGAACAACAAACAAAGAGTTTAGAGCTAACAAGATGTCGAATTTAATGAGCTAAAGCGAAGAAAGAATTGAGGCTTCAACAGATTTGCGAACTCATGATAAACCTGCATTATTGCATTCAAAACATTTGTATGGAATATGACAAGATATAACACACGCGGTCACCAAAGTCTAAAATCATGAATCGATATGATGACTATCCACTGACAAAAACAGATGGCTATCTACAATCGACAAGTAAAATTGAGCACAAATACAAAGAGGAAACTTCAGCGTATTTCTTATGACTAGATTGCCCACCTGAAATACAAATCTTTCGTCCCAACCATCAATTGATAGAACACCCTTTGCCCGATATATTTCCTCACTGCGTTCATCGATAACGCTTTCCAACCAGTTGTTTATCTGAAATAAGTTTCATACAGTCAAAGTTAGTAAATTAACTATTCCAAACATAGTGAAGAGAAGGGCATCAGCGAACAATAACTATTCCTTGAGAAACCAAAATCAAGAAACGACCACAACGAAGTTCAGGAATTGATAGAAAGAGAAAAACACTCGACAGACCGGCTTTGAAAAAAATGGGACATTGTCTATGAAACCTATGCTAGTGGGGCCTATGTTGAGATCTTCCAGAAAAGAACAAGGGAACCGTGATGAGGAGAAGGAAAGCCGATAATCCCTAGAAAGATTAGATCAGTACCCTGTCAAGATCAAGAGCACCATCACACACTATTGAAACAGAGGAAACCCCTGGATCGTGCACATGGTCATGGTCGTGGTCATGGTTGTGACCTGCAAAATTGAAAAAATAACTATTGTCAGCGGACCTATAAGAATATGAAGATAGTATGAACATTGTTAAATACTACTGCTACTACTCTCTCTCTCTCTCTCTCTCTCTCTCTCTCTCTCTCTCTCTCTCTCGCTAACCTCCCAACTTTCTGACACCACATGCAGGATTTCGTCAAGAACTGAATGATTCGTATGTAACCAAGAATTAAATAAAGACTGAAAATCAGAGCATTCTATCCTCCCACCCTGCATGAACTAAATGTATTTTTGAACACAACATACAACCACTGCAAGGTGCACTCACCACACTCAGCAGTATGAACATGATCCTCCTCACACTTATGCGTGTGTTCGTGGTCGTGGTCATGGTCGTGGTCATGGTCGTGACTGTGACTATGATCATGTGCATGTGCATGTGCCTCTGTATGCTCATGGTCCGGGGTCTTCACGCCTTTCAAGATATCGTCTTCAACTCTGCAATAGAGGAAATTAGTATGCTAACCATCCGACCTCAAGAACGTGAAAACTTCAAATTATAGGGAGTCGGAAGTCTCAGTGCATTTTGAGACTAATATAACGCAACACGGCAAAACTAATTCCTAGGCTGCACCCACAATTCACCTTATGCGCCATTGTAAACATGAACTAAAACATCACTCATAGAAAGCACGCTTTTATAAAGTAGCCATGCACGAACCTTTCAAGATCAAAGCCACCTACACCTAGGACATAATCCAGGTCCACCTCAGCCTTCTTCGCCTTGCGCACTTGAGCTAGCCCATTGATGCGCTGCCAGAGATCCGAATCAAAAGGCACGAGATCGAGTGAGTTACAATTCATGACTAACGATATAATAAGAAAAACTGTAGACTGAGTAGAAACACACACGACGATCCAAATTCTTGGATAGAACCTGAGTTTCCATCAAATGCTTGGCAAAATTGGCACAAATAGTATTGAAAAGGGTAAGGTATAAGAAGCTCTGAACCACATCAATGATGATCCAAATCGACCATAAACCCACGCAAACGTCATGAAAACATGGTCCAGCCTCTATCAGACCTACTAACCTTTATTCGCCGCATCATCGACTCCACCTCAGATTCTTTAACAAGATCGATCTGTTAGGAGAAAACACGACTTAGGCAAGAACCAAGAATTGAGAAACAAACACATACGCTTCAATTATCCAGAATATCAAAAACATCAAGTTAAAACACACTTATCTGACCTAAGACTGATGTCAAATTCTCATTTCTTTCACTTATAATACACATTCCTATCTGTTGTCTAGCAACTCTCTCTCAAAGACTGAATCCACTCTAAGTAGAATACCTTGTTCAAAATAATGCGATCCGCATAAGCGATTTGTTCCACAGCCTCATTCACTACACCATCAGGTTTCACTTCCTCTATATGCTGAGTCGCATGTTTGGCGTCTACAAGAGTCACAACTCCATCTAACCGCAAGCGCTCCGCCAGTTCCTCCTCAAGGTAGAACGTTTGAATGATTGGTGCAGGGTTTGCGAGTCCTGAGGATTATTTCACACCATCAGCTTTGCCCGAAAGGAAGCAAATTGTGTAACGAAATACAGAACGGGCACTGCCATTACTTTGATCCTTCCTCTTTAAGGTAGGAGACATGGTTGCTAAGGCACTTATGCAGACTGCCGTAGCTCTCCAAGACTGAAAAATGTTAATACTTAACACGAAGTATCCACATCACTCAGTTGTTTTGCGCTTTTACACACGAAACACTGCCACAGTATCAATAGGACCATTTCCTCACCTGTGGTCTCAATAATAATATGGTCAAACATGCCCTTTTTGTTTCTGAGAAGTTCACCCAGCATCCGCACAAGATCCCCACGAACAGTGCAACACATGCAACCATTGTTGAGCATCATTATGTCTTCATCTCCTTGTTGCTTTGAAGCTACTAGGGAACCATCAATATCCACCTCCCCATACTGCAAAGCAAGATTGTAAAAGTTCAGTTCTTATCCTCAATAGCTGTTTCTAGTACGAGAGTCACTAGTAATAAACTGGGAAAGCAATAGAAAACCTTCAGATGCCAATCGAAGTTAAACAATACAAAAATAGAGCACGATATTCTTCCCATTCTGTTCCAACATAACTAACCCGCCAGAAGGAAAAAAATTAATTTCGTACCTCGTTCTCAATGACGGCAATCCGTTTTCCGTGCTGCATGGTGAGAATGTGATTCAACAGCGTAGTCTGGAAGGAAAAAGAAAAAGAAAACATCGTTATACAGTAGCATAAACTAGCTGAATTTAACAAATAAGGGTAATCAAAGGGGAGCCGCGCACAGTTATATGGGTTGTAAAAGCTTGTAGAAACTCCTAAAATAAAAGGTTATACCAGAGTGATAGTCATCTATACATGCGTCGTTTCTTAACAAGCTCGCCAATAGAGCAGAATTACGATGCCAGTGAACCACACTCCACTCAATACATCGGCGTAATCCCAGTGATTACAAGAGCGCGCCCTAAGTAAACTTAAAACCTTCCAACAGTCATGAATTACAAGATGGAGGAAGTTATAAACACGAAGAAATTTCTAAACTCTCTTCGTGCGAGACTACGGACCCTGACCGCTTTTCTCTTACACTCCCATCCCTCAATTGAATTACACCCTGAAAGAACGCGGTGATGCTGCTTGAGCAGGAATAAAGACATTCAACATTCACAACGCCAACGCTGCAATGCACCACTCACCATTACGCACACGAGGCTACAACCTCCATCACTCCACAATATTCCTTCTAATTAACCTTGTTTCAATGCGTACCTTCCCGGAGCCGAGAAAACCAGTAATAATCGTCACAGCGACACGGTTATCATCACCACTGCGGATGTAATCCTCGTCCTCGTCAATAGCCTCGGCTTCCTCCAGCTGACTAACCTGCGCAATCTGCCACCTCCGGCCGTGACTCTCAAAACTCGAGGGCCTGATTCTCCCGGGCACGGCGACCTGTCGCACCGAGGCTCCGGCTTCGCTCCAAGCCCTCCTGGAAGACGACGCCGCAGCAACCCTGACGCTGCTCATGGCCATAGCCACAGCCCTCACCCCGCCATGGTGCCCCCCGCACACCTCGGTGACGCAGAATCGCGCGTTCACGGCCGATGATGCGCTCAGGAACGCGGCCATGGCGCTGCTCCGGAGCGTCGCGCTTCCGAATTGCATCCCCCTTACGAGCAAACCAAACCAATCGAGGAAATTCAATGAGCTCGAATTAGATCGACAAACTGCTGCTTCACGCAAATACAAACGCAAGCGGTAAGGCTTCTGTGGCTATGTCCACGCCACGGTCGTAGGTGTCGGCGGGCATGGGTGCGTTTCCCCCTTCAGGGTTTTGGGTTTACGGGGGACGCGGTGTTGGGGAGATGTCGCGTGTGATGCCGTGGGGCTCTCTATTACCGTGTTCCCCTTGCGTTCACGTAGCTAACACTACTATGTACACAAACAAACAAATAAATAAATAAGTGGTACAGTTTATTATTAACTGTGAATTGTTACTTCATGGTTTTCTCTTCTCATCTGTGTATGGAAAGTGTGTGGGAACCATACAAATACTCTGAAATTAGCTGCATTCTATCTTGTTTTAAGCATTGATATTTTCTGAAGTTCTTTATGTTTCATACTAGTGGAAACCCGTGCCATTGGCCACAAAAAATATTTACTGATATTAACAATAAAAAAAAATATGTATATTATGATTGAAAGCTTAGTGATCTTGCAGTGCTACTCTTGGCAATTTGCAACAACATGCAAATTTTAATCTCTAACTAATCAAAAGTTGAGTTATTGTTTCACTTTTGCATCACTTTTGATGAAAATAATGAGATATGCAATCAATTAGAGATGGTTTTTGTCTTTTTTGGTTTATCCCCTTCTAAGTTGTTTTATATAAGAGATGTGTGATGATTCATTATTTTTATTATTATTATTTTCTCAACCAATTGCAATTGATAAGGCAGTGAGTAGACTTTAATTTTCATTCTAATAAATTTGTAGTATTTTTGAAAATTTTATATTATTGAAATAGTCATTTAATTGATATGGGCAACTATTGGTACAGTAATTGTGTAAAATGCATAGTTGATTTCTACATAATTTATTGTGCAAAGTTATTGTTAATTTGGAAGCTTTACTCTTTGAGCCGAATTTCAGAATATTGAATTGAGTATTATATTTCATGAAAATTCATGGTGAATTTATTAATCATAATCATGATTGACAATGATGAAATTATTTTCTGTTAGCCTTAATCAAGCACGAGTAAAAATAGAATGCTAATAATTTGTGGTTTCAATTTTATTTTTTTCTTAATAATATGAAAGTTCTTTGAATTACAGTTCACAACAATTTTTATCACAAGTTAGTTTTTAAACAAACAAACAAATAAGTGCGTAGGAAATCCTGAACACTGTTTAGGTATTAAAATCAGCAACTAAATTTTTATTTAACTCATTCTTTTGTTCTATTTTGCTGTTTCTTAACATCTGAATAGTACTAAGATGATCATCTATGAGATTTTGTGCAATGATTTAAATAAATTTACTACTTCAACCTTCTATTTTTCACTCCTAACAGATTAGTACATTCATTAAATATTTTTGATGGTATATATGTGTATATATATATATATATATATATATATGGAACAACACCACATTCACAACTATCTCGAAGAATTTAATTGGGAGTTATTTTCAAAAAATTAAACTTGTGTAGAATGACAAAATAAACACAACCATGTCTGGAAAATATGCTAGTACAAAACGCTGAAATGAAGTTCAATAGTAAACAAATATAATTTCTCATTAATCAAGGTATAAAAATCAATCAAATAATGACACCCAATAATACAAATGATTGACTTGCCATAAAACTTCATCACACTTTACAATAAAAACATGCACTCAATGAGATATGTGATATTCTTCTTATATCATAATCATTGAATTACATTTAGTGCTAATTATTGTATTGCCATCTTATCATCATTCCATGTAAATCTCTCTCATATTTTGCAAACAAAAAGTGTGCTTTGATGACAAAATGGCATTATTTTCCTCTTAAATTCAAGTTTTCAATAAAGCTCTACATATCCACGCGTGGAATCTTGAATGACTTCTCGCAATGACTCCTTGTTTTTCACATCCATGTGCCAGAAAAAATTGTGGTCTATTTTTTTAAAAGGATCTCGTGCACCTTTGTACACCTTCCATTGCCCACACATTTCTTTTCCAATGGGTGCTTGTTGCATGTACATTCGCCCTTCTTGTAGCCGCTTTTGAACCCATTCCGTTAAGATTGAGCCTTTTTTAGCCTTAGAGAGCACCTTATATGTCAATAGATCACACACATACTTAATCTTACTCTCTTCCACTACCTCCAACTCTTTTGGTCTCCAAGTGCTTAATACCACGTCTGGGTGCTTATACTCCATAGATTCTTAAACCCTAATGTTTCACCAACAATCTCTAGCTTATTTTTCAACAACAAATTTTAATGTTCTAAATCCAATAAACAATTATATATATATATATATATATATATATACATATTAATGTCTTAGATGCCCTAGAATCTTAAGTAGTGACAAATATAAGTTATTCCTGTTGTTGAAGAGAGGCTTCATTTTTCTTAGAGAGTTCTTTGATAATATGGTGAGCATAAAAAATTATATGTTTGTATATTCAAATATCATAATAATATGATAAAAAATAAATTTATATCCAACCAAAAAAAAAAGATTTCTTTATTTTATTTTATTTTGTGTGTGTGCTTTTAAATTCCGCAATAATTGCTTAAAATTTTGTTGATTTGAGTTGGTTGGAAATTCAAACAATCAGATCTTACTGCCTTGTAAAATCTTCTCCTGTATAACCAAAGCTTGTTTATTTTTCCAAAGCTCCCTTGTTTGGTTGAATAATCACGAATACAAACATATCATATCTTGTTGATAAACCAGTCCAAAAATTTGTTCGCATTGCATTATTAAACAATATTTCATAAAACAATATTTTTTTTCCATTTGTACTTTAATTTATTTATTTTTATTTATCTAAACTGTAGTATTGATGTGTAAAATAATGGTATCACATCTCATGCTAATGGTAGAATCAATGATGCTATTCATTTTGGTAAATTATTTAAATTCCTTACACTTTACACCATTATGGTTGTCAACATGCAATCATGTATTTTGAATTTTTGTTACTCTTACAATGAAAGTAGCAACTTCTCGGTTTTTGTGTTTGTAATGTGCACACATTCAGACTTAATAGCAATGCTAGTTCTGTGAACTAATTTCTGTGAGTAAGTAATAAAAATTAATTTTGTATAGTTCTTAAATACAAGTTTTCTGAATTTAAAGTAATATATATATAAACTCATCCAAGATATTTTGTGCATATATTATTTGCAGTTACATTGTTGAAATAACATACACATCACACATCTGTGTTCTAGATTTATAAAGACATTTATGTTCAATCTATATTGTAGACTTAAAAATTAAATTGAATTGAAAAACCTGAATTTAGTAACTTTATCAGTAGTTTGAAATTGTTAGAATTATATATATATATATGAACTAAATTCTCAACTTAAGTAAGCATGTTGAGAGCATGATTAACTTGCATATTTGACTTGATGCATCTACTGTTATATTTTAAAAACTTACTGGTCCGTCTGGTTTTAAATATGATTTGTTGTATTTTTAACTTTGAAGTGCTTTAAGGTATGTAACATATTTTAAAAAATTAGAATTAAAAAGTTACGTTTTCATGTATACATACATATATACCATTGAAAAATGACATTTTTTTTTATATATTAATATGAATGTTCTGCAAAACTTAATTAAATGTATATTTTACTGACTCTTCGAATCTTACTGTTTTCTTTATGGCATTACTTATTTATCTAATTGATAGACTCACAATCATTTTTCATATCAAAAACATTAACATCAAGTTACCAGAAATTAGCATTTGCGTTGATTAAAAATTTCTATGAACACAAGCCAGTGTTTGTATTTCAATTTTTTCGTTAAGCTGCATTCATACATTCTAATATACACCTATCGTTATTACAATTTTTGTGTTTACCATATTGCATGGTGAGCACAGATGCTGAAGCACAGCTGAACGTAAGTAAACACCAAAAACTTGAAGAGCTGCAGAGCACTTGCATTAAATGCAATTGTATTAAAGAATACAAGCAATTCAAGAGATGAACACCAAGCGCTTATAAATGTGCACTTGGGACTGTAATGGACAGGTGAAATTGAAGTGTAGAACAAATGCATCAAGGGATAATCCGCTAGGCTAAGTAGCTCAAAATCTACCAGAGTGTGTCCTTAGAGCAAACTAATTTCCTGCAGCAATGCATGCTCTGTTTATGCATTTCTATCAAGTGGGTCTTATGATAATCTCAACTGACCATTATTTACACGTGTCTAAGCATGTAACAATCACTATTAACAATGAGCAAGCATGTAACAATGGCTATGTACCACAGGGGAGTATATTAACTGTGCTATACCATGTGTGAAGAGAGAGGTCTGATGAAATACTAACTGACCTCAAGAAGTGCCGTCTTCCTCCTCCTCTTGGAATTGGATATATAGAACTTTCCATTAAAGCCTTGCCTTGATATAGCTTCGGCAAGTCTGGCATAAATAAAGATAAAACGGCATTGTGCAGCTGAAATGGTGGTACAGGTGTGACGCTATGGTACAAAAAAAAACTTGTTTGTTGTTGTAGATTACATGCTGTTCATTCGAGACGAGCATGTTTTCTGTTCGTGATGTTGAGCAAGTCGAATCGGAACGACTGTGCTCTGTGGGGAAGAATCCTCTTAAGAATACTGGCATCTTGTCTGCAAGATTGGCTGCCGCTGACAGGTCGACCGGAGGCAAGGATGCTGCGGTGATTTTCAAGCAAGGATCCTGTCAAAGGGGACTGCGCTTGAAGGAGAGCCGTTTTCAGATCTGTCGGTGGAAGCTCTTTCCTAATCGACAGGGTGGTGGAAGTGTAACTCGGATCCCCAAACTCGTGTTCAAACCGTGGCAATGAAGCCGGGTCCCGTTCTAAGTTGTCGACTGAAACATGTTCCTGCTTGCTAACCATGGTTTTCCTTGATTTCTTAGGCCACTTGGTGAGTTTGAAATTGCGCAACCATGAATTATTCTTGGTGTACTGCTTCGGAGGCATTGGTGCTGTCGCACTCTGGGACCTGCACCCATGTCTGAGTGTCACCTCGTCCTGCAAATTCGAGAAACTGAGGTTTTCTACAAAATCCCTCCCGATTGTTTGTTGTTGGCTGTTACCCTGAAGTTGTGTGGTTGCGTTACAACTGTCGATGATGGTCTTCTCATGAATGATGTTGTGCACAGCGTGTGCCATGTCAGGGAACAGCTGCATATTTGTCTTTGAAGAGTCAGTGCACACCTTCACCTCCGAGGAATGCTCCATGCTGCTGGAGTACCCAGAGAGATCAGTCATGGTAGCCTCTCTGTCAGCAGGGGACTTCTCGATGAAAGAGATCTTGCTGATGTTACGTGGTTTCCTCATCCTTAAGAATCTCATGTATGGCGTCTTAACTTTGGTGTTGGACATTATTGCGTCCCTCTCCTTGCAACCCGGTGCGCTCTTGTCCTTCTTGTGCTTCTTTGCATTAGATCTTCTCCTAGGATCAGAAGTAAAATACGAGGTTTCCTCTTTTTCAGGACATTGAATTGAGAAGGAGCCGGGAGGAATGTTAGAGGGCATTTCTATGATATCAGTGCTGCCACCATCAATCTCACTTGGTTCGGAGGTTGCAGCCCGCACGAGGATTGCAGTTTCAACCTCAGTGGAGCTGTTTCGCATATGCATGAAAGCTTTAATTCTGGTTCCAAGTGCTTGGCTTCTACTTGTGGCGGTAGACTCAGGTGGCGTAATGCTTGCAATTTCCTGAGTTTGAGGCTGCCATGCAGAAAGGGAGTTAATCGGCTGCCATTAACTGATAAGAGATGGTTAGATACATTGACAATAGGATGCGATCATGAACTATCACAATGAGATCCATCAATTGCAATACATGTGTCACCTGAGATCCAAAAGTCGTGTGTCGCTCCTCAGGAGTTTGAGAACCGTTGTGATGTTCCACAGTTATTGCAAATTTTATCCAACCCATATACTCCTTTTTATTCACACTTTCAAGTCTTAATTTCTTTTCTTTCCGTTCACCGTTCTGAAATTCTTTCACTGCAATACTACATATCCTGAAGACGTACATGAATCACTTGTTTGTGAGTCAACAACACAAATGCAAATATCTGCAAAGAATTTCGACAACACTCACTCAAATGACCTGGTGAAACGAGGAAATACTTTTGTCCACACTAGATTGAGCATTTTCGTGTAACAAAAAAGTGTAAAAAAGAAGGTACTAAACAGATAATTGACGAGCACCTTTTGCATGAGTTCAAGAAACGTACCCAAGGTCAACTGAGCGTCCCCAGCTAGGCTTGGACATCACGCGCAAGGTGAGAATATTTGGGTACTCCCAGTTCACTATGGGCATACGATGCATCTCACGTGTCCACACTGGATTGACCGTCTGCAACTTTGGTTTGGTTATTTCTCTTCGCGTCCCCAGTAATAACTCAACCATTGGATCAGGCAAACCTGAGAAGACAATACGGAATGCAACTCAGAATTTTCTGATGAAACGAATAGATTTGCGTCGCTTCTGATAAGAGTTTTTCGATGAGCAGACGCTGCATTCGAAAATATTTATTAGTGAACAAGCCAGTCAAAGCTGTACGCATGACGCAGCAAACGAAGTGGGAAAAAACAGGCTGGATTTCTAATTTACCAGCAGCATTTCCAGCCTTCAGCTCGCCGGCCTCCAAAACTTCAACTAACACCATGACACCCGATTTGTGCTCCACACTAAAAAAATCTTGCAGGCCTGGGATACAATATTTGCAATGTGTGATGTTAGTCGATAAAGACAGACACAAAGAAATATCTAGCAAACAGCATTACAAATACATGGTTAAGTCACATTTATTTGCCTCACCATATCGTGATATCGGCCCAGGAAACATCATGTTGCTGACGAGCTTTTTCATGTCGATGACCAACATGTATGGCTGCACAAATACCACAAGGATGAACTGAGCACTTAGATGTGAATGGAATGATTAAACAGTTTGTATCTGAAATGATACCTTCCATTTCGGACAAGTAAAGGATGAACAGCAAATGAAGAAAACCTACTGCAATTAGCACGCGTCGTAACATGAATCAGTTACAACAAACGTGAATGTCATGGACATACCTCAACGACAGATTGCTCCAGTGCTGTGCCCAGTGTTTCCTCCTGGTCAATCATGTCACAGAGCAACCCCACATAGAATTCAAGGTTCACAAAAGCAATAAAAAAATAAAATAGGAAGGTCCCAAGGAATTTTTCCAAACAAATATAAACGGGATTTTTCTAAGTCTTTGATGACATTTTATGAAGAATGTAACGCAACACAGTTGAAAAGAATCCGCGATTGAAAGCCTCAAATGCAAAAAGAGCAGTATAATACCAGCCAGCTTGCAGCTCCTGGAATGATCCTCATGTCGATACCCTTCTTGGCGTATGGCCGAGCGGTCATGTCGATATAGGGAGCATTAGCAAAGCAGAAGCGTACTCGACCTAAAATAGGCCAACCTTTTTCGAACTTCACCGAAAACTTGACCTGAAATGGGCATGTGGAATCGTCAGTGCTGTAGATGTTTATTGGGGAAAATAAAACAAAAGAAGGAGAAGTCTAAAAAAATAAATCTGTGGGATAAAGGGACCTAAACCAAGGAAAACATTCTTACTTAGTTCAAATACATCCTCTAGCCAACGTCAACACTGACAAGAAAAACTGCTTACCTACCAGTACTATCAAAATGTTAAGCACAAAGAAGACTGTAAGATTGTAAGAAAGTTGATTAACAAACATGTTCAGACTGCAATCATAGACCATCAGCAAAGGTAATCTACATACCGTGCCTTTGATGTAAAGTTTTGAGATATAAAAAGTGGTGGTGGTATTTATGTGTTTCATTTGAACTGACATTTGTGCTTTCATGTCCTTGTCAGACGAAAACTCCATTTCTGCCTCAAAAATCTGTAGAGAAGCAAGAATCAAAATCAACTTTGCACTTATATCTCAGTTCAGCATTTGACTCAAGTAAAAACTGACACAGAAGGTTGGTGATGAACATGGCAAACAACGAACTTGACCGCTCATCAAAGAGCATGAGGAGAACATTACCACATCATCATCTTGGGAAGCTGGCAAGACGCGTATGAGGCTGAAAAGGGGTGAGGTGCTTCCTAAATGAAGAGATTGCAGCGTCACTTCCTTCTGTAGGACATAATCATTTATTCTTTAGATCCATTAAGTCAATAGATAAGATAATAATAGTCAATATTACCGCACACTGCCAGGTTACCAACGAATTTGAAGCCTAGCAGTCATCCATCTAATAATAAAGAAGTCGCGACTACGCACCACATACTTGGGCTTGAATTTTTTCAAAAACCACGGCGCAATGGGTGTGAAGAAGTGCTGTGAAGCAAACTTCTCCATACATATCGGCCACATGACATTCAAGCTTTCATTCAACCACTGCAGCGTCTCGCCTTCCGTCATTGCCTGACAAAAGAAGCCTGATATGCTGTTAACCATCACATGATTTCTAAAGAGTAGAGTAAACTCTGAAGAATGAGACAGCGTCAACAACATTACTTGCATATTCATCTAAATTCAGAAGGTTCATGTTCTGCTAACTGCAAGACCGTAAGCTTAGATGTGCATACCTTACTTGCGTTCACCCTTTTCCTCTCTTCGAACAGAATTTCCCGCTTCTCCCTCTCCAAACATTGTTTCAGAATCTGCACACATCATTCGGCCTTTTAAAACCAGAGTGTAGCACCTAAATTGAAGTAGGTGCGACAGTGATGTAGTGACGAAAGAGATTCATACAAATATCCAAGCTTTTTCTTCATTCAAGTTAAAGAAAGCAACAAGTATTACGAAAAAGCGTCTCTATTTTCTAGCCACTCGCAATTTCATGATATCGCAGACAAGATATACACTGCTGTAAACATCTATACTTCAAGCATCACCAAGAAGGATAGTATGTGCGGTGACGACAGCAGACACTTACCCAGAACAGGTAGCCGCCGAGGAGGCTCAAAAAGAGGCAGTTCGAACTCACGGAGGAAACGATCCATAAACAGCACATCACTGACACTACATAGAACATGAGAAGAAACTGATCCATCGTCTTCTCCGCAATGAAAGAAGGCTCCCCCTGTGCCGGGTTTCCCATACCGCCCGACACTCTGTGCTACAGAAAAATAGCCTTCCTGCACTTCTCTCTCACCTCTGCATTTCTATTGAAACCCACCACATCCGAGAAGTAGAAAGTCGCCTCCGCTGTCAAGGAATTGTCCAATTCTAAACTACCGAGAATTATTTTCACGCTTGAAAAGGCTGCGGCAGGGAAAGGATTCAATCACAATTCCAACGGCCGATTTGAACAATATTGAAAATACGTCACTTTCTTGAATCTTGAGATCCACATCCTCAACGTTTCACTCTCTGATGCACGCAACCAGAACCAGGATTGCTCAAGGCGGCCTCATCGAAACTATGCAAGTGGTTCAAAACAGCGTCGTGTTGGAAAGATCAGCTGCTGAAATATTTTTATTCCTGCCCTGAGTAAGTGTACAAAATTCTTGAATTCAAGAAAGCCCTCCAAATATCACAAGCATGAGGCTAAACCTTCGAAAATATGATGCTGCTCCTGATCGTGTCCTCCTTGTCATGCGCGATGAACCTTGCAAATCGTCATTACTATCCCAACCATTACTCTTGGCGTCATTGACAAACCTCCTAACCCAATGGAAAGGTCCGCGTGTCCACGAGACCGGAATTTTAGAGGAGAGGAGAAGGGGGTGAATCCACAAACACAGTAAGTAAAAAAATAAAAATAAAAAATAAAAAACAACAAAGCTACGTTCGATTCTCTCCAAGATTTTCTCTCCACCCTGGCTCCCTCAGAATCTTAAAACACACAATGTTGCGGTAACGCGACGCAACACCAACAACAACTCCACCCCTAGAAACGCTGCACAGCCTCCACGTCAATCCCCTCCGGACACACTCCCTCATTCGATCAATCGACAAAAAGAACAGACACTTCTATCTGCACAAACTAAATAACACACTCATTAACACATCCACACTCTCGCACTCTCTCTCTCTCACACACACACACACACACTCTCTCTCACACCACCAAGCGAATCAAACAAACAGCAGTATCCCAGCTATTTCCGACCGCACAAACGTCCAATGTAGACCTCAAGTCACGCAAACCACCTCTCTCCATCATGTCCACCACATCTCAATCAAATGATCAATTCCCAAACTGCAAAAACCCAGTTCACATCTCCACAACCCACCTAAAACGAAACAACCATCCAACCCAACACTCTCTCCCGTCTCAGCAACTCTCCAACGACCTCCTTCACTACCAGCCCGCTAGAGCTTTCGAATGCGTTCTGGCACAAGCACATCGCCGTGAAAGAGATGCAAGTAGCGAGAGAGAGCGAGAAACAGTAAGAGCTGCAACGACTCCCGGGGGTAAGACACACCGGGATTCGTTTCAACAAGCTCGATGGTTTCGTCGCCACACGACCACTCTCGTCAGCAAGAAATTCACTGCGGGTGATATCGATTGCAGTTACAGCTCGAGATGGGAAAACACCGTAAGGGGTATTTAAACCTTCCCGATTGTAGAGTCAAAGCTACGCTTTGTGAGCGGTCTGGACCACGACTGGCCTTGAATGCCATGTGTGTAAGCCAAGCCAGATCCGACGCGCGGTAGGCGCCCACCTCCTCCAGGTCCTCGCCGCTCACTCGCTCGCTTGCTCTCTCCCTCCCCCTTCGCATCCTCGATCGAGGTTGCTTGTCGGACTCGCGTCGGTCGCGCTGGGCCGACCTTCGTGATGCGCGAAGCCCGCGCCGCGCAGCCTCTCGCCACCGCTTCCATCCACACATTCATCCTAGTTTTCTTCCGAAACGGGGTCTCTTGTTATATATTTCCCACCCCATCAGCTGACATTCTTTCGCCAGTTTAATGAGCACGATTCTAAAGGATTTTTACACGTTTCTAACCGGTTTATTGTTGTACATTGCAAACATTGACATTGCCTTACTACGGCGGTGGTGGCGAACCATGGCGGAGCCGAAATATGGAGGAAATAAGAGGATCGACCCAAGTGTCGATTTCAGTAAGGAAGGATTCTTTGGAGAGGCGTGGCAGCGTTTTGGAATACGGGCAGTATGTACAACTTTTTTCTCATTTAGGGGGAAAAACACAAAACTTATCTTGGAAATTGTGTAGGAACGCACGACCTTGAGAATGGTGGCGCCCTCATTCATTCAGGAGGGGCAATTTCGGTTTTTTTTTCTTTTTCTTTTTATTTTTTTTGTGATATATTCCCTTTGGTGGGTGATTTAGATCCCCATTGACCGCCGTCCATGTTTGTTGACATCCCCCCTCCATGTTCTATTGTTTTCTGAGGTTTTAGGGTGGTCTGGTTTCCGTTGCTAAGTGCCTCCGTTTTTGGGTCACCTCAAAAAACCCACCCCACGCCAAGTTTAGCGGCACAGAACCATACTACTACCCCACAATATGGGACCAAACCCTAGCCCCATCACACAAGACCTGAAACCCACATGAAACTTGACCTTAGAACGGCCAAAGGTCTCATCCACGGGCACCCAAGACCGTTTGCTTGAATGAGCCCCCCCTCGTATTGATAGCAACTGTTAATCCACACATAGCTCGTGTTAGCACAAACAATACTGTAAATCCTTACACTGATATGCATCTGCTGAAGAAACTACATAATTCTCTGGATCGTGGGGATGAAGACAAACAGTGAATGGGCAGCGTTTTGCATGAAACTTGGAGCACGGTCAACTGGGTTCCACCCAAACTGCCTTATCCTGCTGCTTCGTGCCTGGACGTCGTGCGTAGACGTAAGCAATCCCAGTCGGAACCGTCCACCGGAATTGCCGACTTCCCCAGAATTCATGCGTTTCGGGGGCAGGCGGGGGGGGGGAGGATATCTTTCGGACAGGCTCTTTGCCCCCAGGTTTTCTGCATTCTAGAGAACTAGAAACGGGCGGAGTGAGAGCGTCGACGGAAGTCAATTCCAGCGCAGAACAGTGTCGATGGACGGGTGTCGCGCGATGGGTGGACCGGAGTCGTGCCGTTCGCATAGCTCCCCCAGTCGCTCAATTCAGTGCTTGGTAGGTTCCAAGGCAAGGGCCTGCAATTTCTAGCAGATGATCCCAGTCTGTCTGCAGGAATAGGATGGATGAGATCATGGGATGGTAAGATGAGAAGGATTGGTCGGATGGTTCGAGCCTGCGTTAGGCTTTGCACGCGTAGCAGCGAATATTTTTGGATGAACTGCTCATCTTCATAGGCAACCCCACTAGGGTGCCATTCATGCATATTTCCGTTGTACATCTATGATATGTTTGTGATATTGTGAGGAAGAGATTGTGCTTCGCTTAATTGTAGGAATACATGGACTTGTTGCAAGTTTCACTGAGAAGAGGAATCTGTTTAGAAGTTACAAGTAGTATACATATAATTTTACTAATTATTATCATTGTAAAGGTGCGTCCACTTGAACCAAGATTTGTTTGCGTAGCAGTAAGCGAGTGGTTAGTGCATTGAAAACAAAAAGTCACATTTGAGTAAAACTTTCTAAACTTATCTGCAGTTTTATGTATAGTCTTTAAGTATAGGCAGAATAACAGCTGTACTAATACGTTGAGCATTTAACCAACTGCATTACATTTTCAAAATAAATTGTTTTCTATCAGGAAAGGTGTAACTACAGTTGAATAAGATATATTTAATGTATGTACATTCATGACATGTACGTTTTCACGATACTCTGCAGATTTCTATGTTGGTGAATCTTAAATGATCAGAATTAAATCATATACTTCGGCTTGGAGTTTTGCATACAATTTTCAGATGCGCTAATAAGTAAATACATGACAATGGATTTTGCCATTTTAAAGTAATAATACCTTCCAAAATCATTTAAAAAGTGATAACTATTAGATTCGAACATCAGGAGAAAAGATCGTAATCGAACAAGTACGTAAATGTACTAACAAGATCAACTACCACTCAATGTTAAACAGCCGGTCTAAATGTGATGAACCACTGCGTCAACATCAAATAAGATATACCATGCATGTCTATATGCTCCGTGATTTCAGAACTCCAACGACGCGGAAAACCTTTGACTAAATCACCCACCAATCCATATAAGCGCATGCATGCATCCTAGACGGTACACTGAAAAAAATGTGTTCAAAAAACCTCGTGAAACCGGTATCGATAATGTTAACTGCGTGGTGCGCGACAGTAAATTGTCGCAACGCCCTGTGTAGTAATGACAGGGGTTCACATATCTCTTTTCGATGCAGGGCACTACGCACATAACAGATGCTTCAATCTACTACTTCCAAGACACAGCGAAGAAGTCGAGACCTGATTAATAAATTGAATACTTGCAGCAAAATAATACACAGCATTAGCACGAACACAGAGATCCTCTTGACTCTTGTGGTGAGACCGCACTACTGACGCCTGCCCATGGCGAGGTTGGCATTCTCAAACAGAGATGCCATTTGGAACGCCTGTTGCTGACTTCCAAGCGCATTGCGGAACTGGAGCTTCACTTGGAACGGCGAGTATGCGTAGTCACGGCGTGTGTACGAGTTGAGGATGGCAGCAGACCCCTGGCGAAGCAGAGCACCGTACCCGTCGTTCCTAGTGCTTGTCAAGCCCTGCTGGATGGTCATCGAGTTACCAAATATGCTTGTGATAGAGGATAGAGGGCTACTACCACTGCCAGACAGAGTGCCGAATAAGTCCAGGATAGTAGTGAAGATGCTGATGACGTCGGGGAAGCTCGAAGTGTTGGACGACCACCACCTGGACACAAGTCACACCGGTCAGACTGCAACTTCCGCAGAATCAGCCAAACAGCGTCAGAGGCCACTGCAATGCATCCACACTCAAGTTAAATTCTTTAGTCCACGCATACTTACGAGCAAGTGCCGGGAGTAGACGGAGTGGGAGTAGATGGTGTGGTTGGAGCAGAAGGGTCCGGAGTGTATGGCGTGGTCGGAGTGTAAGGTGGTGTATAAGGAACATCCGGGACTGCAGGAACTGTAGGGCTGTCATTAGAAGGAACCGCCGGAGTGGGACTGTAAGGAACATCAGGCGTCGTTGGGCTGCTGCCTGAAGGAGTTCCACCATACGGGGGAGCGTACGTCTTCTCTTCGCCAAACTTCTCGGGGGCCTAATGAGCAAACAATCTACAACGATCAAAACAAACCTGGGCATACAACACAATTCAACTCCAATTCAATTGCACAAAGAAAGAGAAGTAATAAATAAACAAACAAAAGCAAAGACACAGCTAATAAGTCACAATGTATCCAGTACCAGTCGAGCCGCAGCAGCGACTGCGACGAAGAGACTCAAGGCGAGCACAAAGGCAGCTTCACGTCCGGGCGCCATGCTTGGGACTATCTCACTTCCGCGTCGAGATAAACTGCAGCGCCTCCGCCACTCTGATCGGCCACCACAGCAACGTTACACGAAGGACTGTTGTGCAGTGACGACGGGTGTAGCTAAATACCAGCTGATAGCAGGTGACTACATTAATAGACGCTTTCAGCATTCGCTAACGCCAAGCGGGTCGGAGGGAAGCAACACACAGAGCCGCAGGGACGGCACCATTAAGACCCCATGAGCTCTTGAATCCGTCCCCTCCGTGAAGACGCCGTCTCGAGGGATGATGCAGCAGCCCCAGCGAGCTGGAACACACACACTCCATCACGGCGACTGACTGACACCGCCCTGAGCTCTGGGAACGTAGCTATGGGAACTTGTTCGTTACTCCCCCCCCCCCCATTGTGCAATGAATCCCATTTCACACTCACACTCTGCATAATAATGCACATTATGGTGGTCATTTCACTTTGTGCCCTGTGCCGCAACCATGTAATTTCCAATAACTTAAGCATTTTAATACATATCCAGTAAGTATAAAAATGGGAAAGAACTATCCTCGTGTAGGAAAATAGAAATCAGGAGGCCTTCAAGTGTTTACACACAATTTGGCCCAAAAACAGAATTTATATCGATGTTTTGGTTGAAGATTCTCTTTGATCCATTTCCAACACATAAGTCAACCTAATTCCGACCAATGATGGGTTAAAAACCAAATATTTTACTTTTACAAAACCAAGAAGTGTGGCTCATAATTGTGCTATTATTCTACCTCAACCAATCAATAACTGCCACCTATATCAAAGAACACCCACTTTATCTTGCGACACTTTTTAATGACCTAAAATAATTTAAACTTAACCAGCCCCTGACTTGTTTTCAACCAAAAAATGTCAAACTTGGTCCACAATAAGTCACCGGACTCACAGAAATACCCCACTCTGTAGGTGAGAAATGGGGGATTGACAACGGGTCAAGTACCTTAATAGATAGAACAGTGAATACTTGGGGTTCATGAAGCTCTTTGCAAAATTCTTACATCCACATAATCTTTTTCTACTCCTTGAGATGGTTTGTGGGGGTCCACCAATTTGTGCCCCATTTTATGGCGTCTTACGCGGGCGTAATGGCCTTCACAGAGGTCATAATGGGGAGGAGGCGCGGGTTTGGGAGACTGGGCAGTTTGAATTTTTGCTGTATCTTCTACCTTTGGGCGGCGATCGGTTGGGTTGATGGGAATTGATGGCCCGGCCAGGGGATGGCAGAGAGCGCCTCTGGGGAAGCAATGGGATCATTGAATCAATCTGCGTTCAGCCATCAATGACTTATGGCGGAGAACGGACACCTGGCAACCGGTGTCCAGTTGGCAGCCATCAATCGCCTAGCTGGACTGACACCTCAGCGTCCAGTCAGCTGCCCCCTCAAGTACTTGCGTTCCTACATGGACTCCTGGTCTGAACATAAACTCGGTTTTAATGAGTGAATATTTATTTCGTTGCATTGTTTCATGATTGTCATGGTGACTTGCACCAATTTCATTGCAGGACGGTTCAATGCCTGGATCGCTGTAGGTGATGGTCACTCGCAAGACAGAACGACCTATCGATTCGCATTCATTTGTTTATTTACTTGTTTGTTTTATTTCTGTGGACTACAGGTATCAAATCAGGTTCTTGATTTTTAAAATAAAAAAATAGTGGTTCTATCTTCTTTAAATGCATTCTAGAATGTAACATTCGCACTACTATTTCGCGATGGTTATATTTTTGGTAAGCGTCTTTTGATGGTCACGATTTTCTTTTATTATATATATATTTTTGTTTTCAATGTGCAGATTCTCGTGTAAAGCGAGTGATTTAAGAATTTCAAAGGTGTAATGTTAGCATAAAGATATAGTTGTCTGTGTGTATTAGTGTATAAATATATCATTATTTAAAAATATTGCAATCAGATGATAAAAAAGTTGAAGATATCCGAGTAAGCTTTTTTATAAAAAACATATATATATATATATATATATATATATATGTATTTTTAAGAAACTTCGATTAGGATTTTCCACAAGATGAACCTCCAAGACCAATGCATGGCCTGGTGGGGAGGATAGAAGCAAATGCGAAGAAAGGTTTTGGACAGTGAGTAGTTCTCAACAAAAAACGAGGCAGGCAAAATAATACATTGAGAACCCTAAGCATGGCGGAGTTAACCCTAACCCTACTCCTAAAACCCTAATCCTAAAACCCTCGGAAAACTACTGCCACAATGAATATGCTTTTGTTCCAAATGCAATCTCTGTGAAGGGCTGAGTTCACTAGCTGGTGAGGATGGGGTTGCAGCAGCGGCAGCAGATAGCCAGAGCCAGAGAAAAGCAACAGCAGAGTTTTCGTCGCGGAGCTTCGCAGGATCTGCCACTGGCACAGAAATACTGAAATCGCGAGACACACCAGAGCGTCGTCGCTTAGTCAGTCATGGTCCGAGTCGCGGCTGCAACCGTTTTCGATGGGGTAGAGTGGGCACGGCAGGACGGGGGGTGGGGGGAAGAGGGACAGTGCCGAGCTGTTTGCCATTGAAGGCGAACTGAAGGCGGTGGTACTCTCTGACCTGAGTGAGAGGCTAGCGGTCAGTAGCGCAGGAAGTGGTGGCCACCATGTGTGGGGGTCGTAAATGACTGCTCTGGCAGAGGGCGGGTACGACACCACCTACACACACTTACACTCGCACATCCACACACACACACACACAATTGGTTACTTTGAGAGAGAGAGAGAGAGAGAGAGATTGAGAGCCGAAGACCGCAAGTCGTCGCCGTATTCATCCATGGTCTCTCCTGAGCCCTGCACCCAATTGTCTGTGGCTTTGCCTGTCGAATTGTTAGCTAGCCGGTTCTTCACTCCGCTTGCAGGCGCAGTGAATGCAGGCGTTCTCCGTCGCGTCATGGCTCTGGGAGGAGATCGGACAGGACAAGACCACCGCGATGTTTTTTTCTCCTCCATCCTCTGTTTTTCTATGAGGTCGAACTTACTGGTCTTTATTCCAAATTTGTCATATTTTTCTGTTTGTAATTCGGATTTTGTGAGGCACATAGAGAATAATGAGCAACGTTTTTAGAAGAAAACAAGGGTTCAGAAAGTTTACTAATAATGTGAACATTCCATTAGCAAAACAACCAGAAAATAGAACCACATACTATCCCTTAAAGAATAAGAGCATCACCACTTGTTGAGGCCAATGGGAATGGCAGATGAGTGGATGTTGTGGTTGCATGGTGCGTTGGCTAAGGTGGCCCTAGTGCAGTGCAGTTCCCACGACAGAGAATGCCTTCAAAAAAACTCTTTCTTTAGAGCAATAGCCATGCCCAGCATCTACTTGTCTGCCCCACACTAGCTCCCAAGTCCCCCACTCCTTTTGAGAAGCCCCCTCGTAGGATAAAAGGAGATAAAAGTGGCTTCTATTGACTACCTTGCCATGTGGCCTGTAGAAGCTAGGCCTGGTGCCAATTGCTTGCCTTACATTGGCTCTGCAAGGGCCCCATTCCAAACCTCAACCTTGGTATGAGAGAGTTGTTTCCACAGCAAGCTATTGGAAAAACAATCCATTCTGCCAAGGTTGGCCTGTGCTAATGATCATGCTGCAATGGGGCTCTTTCTGAGGTTGGGTCAACCTGGTTGGCCCTTGGCAACACCAGTGGCCATGTTTCAAAGAAAGTGAATTTTTTGAAGAGGATCTATTACTTTTTTTATTTTCTTTAAATTTAAATCAGTTGTTGTTGTTGTTTTAGCTATGCACTTGTATACTGTTTTTGTTTATGTTTTTCCATCCTCAACCTGTAACAACACAATCAATTAGAAGGGAATTCTAGAAATACATTATATCCCAATCTGTATTTTCTCTTTTGATACCAGATTTTAGAGCTATAAAAAATTAAATTGCAAATGCACAACATACTTGAATTAGATTGTAGAGGCATATCTTAAGACTACTTATTAATTTCTTCTTCTCTTCCAATAAGTAAACAGAACTAAATTTATAAATGTTTAATTAATTGAATTGTCCAAATTCTTGGAATGATCAATCAGGACTTTGTTTTATTTTATTTTTGCCCTTTTAAAACAAATACTCAGCTGAGTGTATCAAACAAGAAAGATAATGTTATCGTAGAAAATATTTGAACTCTGTTTGTTTATTGAACAAAATATTTTCATAGTTTAAGACAATTGTTCCTTTTTAAAACCACTGTGATATATTTCAAATATGCATGGCATTTCGTGAAATGTAGCGTTTCGTTATGATTGTACTCCAAATCCATTAACCAGTGCTTGAACATGAAATTCAACATAGTCGACCATTTCCATAATGTACCTAGAGAAAATTGTTGTGCATTAGCAGTTTCTACATTTGCCACCAAAGATTATATACGTATATGTATAATACACACACGCATATACTGATTGACATTGAGCACCAAAAGTTACGTGATGATATTGCAGATAAAAAATGTTATCATGTGATACAGAAAGACGCAACAACTCTACAACCAAAACTGAAAAAAAATGGTTTCAGTTTAAGTGTACTTCACACTGTCTAAACGTTGATTGTAGTTGGTAACAATATCTGGGTACTTGTTCTGTGCAATTCAATCACCATGAATCAACTACAACTATTTTACTGCACATGATTGCAGACTTCTGCACAGGTACATTTGGAAATTGGGTTCTGACAAATTTTACAGAAGGTAAAAGATCTCATGTGCACAACGGCGTAAACGAAAGCAAAAACTTGACCCTCCTCTAGTCTATGGATTTGCCTTACGAACGACCACTTATCATTCATTTCCACCAGAACACTCATTCATGACCTTACAAGCATAGTCTTCAAAAGAACAAAAAAAAAAAAAAAAAAAAAAAAAAGAGAAAAGAGAAAAAAGAAAGCAGCTGCTTCTTGTCAAATGAAAAAATGAAAAAAATGCTTCACCGATTCCAGTCTCTTCTTCCAACCATGTAGGTACCCAGCATGACATTGTGCAATCCATGCGGTTAGCAATACTTCTTTCTGCCATGTACTGGGATGTACACTCTCTCTGATTGATAAACTAACAACAGACCATGTTCCATTCCAAGTACAGAAGTATCGTCATTCTAGGATATGGTTTCCTGGCAACAACACGGCATGCTACATTCTGAGGGACAAAGTCTTGATGTCAGTCAGAATCCATGCACAGTTTACAGAAGCATGTTTTAACGCGGAACCTCCACGGTGGTTTAAGGGTTAAGTTGATGTTAAGCCAGTGCACTATATGAATTAGGCAAGGAAGACGAACGGTAGTAGTTGAGGCTACACTTAGGGGGGCTAAAGTACGCTGCTGTCATTCCGCAATTCGGCTGGCTTCATGCAGTGGATGAGACTCCTCAACCAATCCTTCAAGTACCTGTCCTAAGACCTATCCTGCAAGAAACGGTATTCGAACGTTGAAGTAAAATGCAGCAAGATCCAAAGTACGGTGGCAGCATTCCACTCAACGCCTCTCACAGGAGGGCATAATTTCCCCAAGACTTCTTTCTTAAGTAGAGGGTGACGACTTCTTGAAGATCGCACACAGCCTGGATGGCTTGAATATCTGCATACACATCAGGGCACCACGAGATTTGACTGAATTATGCTTTGGATCTTACTAAGCATAACCCAATTTGGACTTGAAAGAGATTGACAAACTTGGTGCAAGTATTCATGTGTTTCCTGTTGATTGCTGAATCAATTGGCAGCACTAAATGCAGAGAAGCAAAATTCTAAGGTTCAACGGAGGGTGTGTCAGCTGTGCTTTTTTTTTAGATACCCATCCATACCTTAGACTTAAACATGATTTGAGGGGGGACGTTGATTATCACATAGTTTTCTTTATCATGATGGTACTTCTCAAACTCCTGTGAATACATGGACATTTAGAATGGTTTAGAGCCCAAGCATTTGTAAAAATCCATCAATCAATTAGCTCAATCTCCTAAGAAGATTGATCAGCGCAACTCGCGTGGATGGTTGGCAGAATAGGAGAGTTCTCGAAGGCTTGGAAACGATACAATACCGGAAGCATGCCGTGTTTCGTGGTCTGGCTCCAAGGTACAGGCTGGAATATCTCTCCTGAGAATTCAAGCATGGCATCCTCACCCAGGGCGCAATCTCTAGCCACCTGAACATTACAAGCGTCGTTGTGACCATAAGACGTACACGTTTCAGGGAAGGAACAAGGGATCCGCGGAGATGGCTAATACAAATCCTGCCAATTCCAGTGCAAGCGTGCCGAATGTGATGACCTAATCAAGAGACAGTGAAAACTTCGCGAGTAATATGCAATACCGATTTGATGAACGACTCAGAAGATAACATCGAACGCAGCAATTGGTCACTCTGCAATCAAGAGACCACGTTAGATTAGGGTTTTTTGATTCTTCAAAATACATGCTATTGAGCTGTAAGCAGATGCGAAATCATACAGAGGCTAGCTGCGACTCTTATTTTTGTCAAGACTAATCCATACCATTTTGCACAAGCCGCCCAACAGGAGAGCAAGAGACACCAATGAACAAATTTAGCTCAGGCCAGTCTCAGGCCAGTCTCAGGCAAATCTCAGGCCAGTCTTTTCTAAGAGCTGCAGGATTTTAGCGGCGGCCGAGGCATTCCGAATTATTCATGCACAGCTAGAATCAGACCACCCTTGATTGGGAACAGAAGGTAAACCAGATGCTGATCCGACAAACGCATCATGTACCAAAGAATCACATTCTAATGCCTCACTTGAGGTTGATACATTGTTGTTGCTGTGCTGTGTCCGAGATTTCAAGGCAAAGCTCACGAGAATTAATTTCGAGTTCTAGCATGCCAAATTACCTCCGGTGTCAGCTGGAAAGTTGCGTCGAATGACTCTACGGCGCGGATGCCCATGCGCACCACTAATGCACCCCCCCTGGATTGGGCGCCAATCCTAACAGTAGACAACCCGGAGACTTTGCTCTGATGGAGACGAGCAAAACCTAGACCACCAACCGAGGAGGAATGCAAATATGCTTGCATTTGCTGGCTCACGACTTTGGTACTAGTTGCCGTTGGGCAACAACACAAAGCCGCCATTATTTCAACAGAGATCTTCCAGAATTCTTCAAACGCTAAAAGTGCTGCAGAGGTTTCCAACACGAGGATCCGACCCTGTCAGAATTAATCGATGCTTAACAATCACCTCCTTGTCAACGACCAACGCACTCTGAAACTCTTCTTCACCGGAATTTGCAACATGGGGAGAGAGAGCGAAACCAGCACGGTATCCTGAGCAATGTTCGCACTCCAACCGCTTGTGGATAAGATGTGCAAATATGGCAGGACATGACTGCCATTTCAGATTTTTGCACGAATATCTGAACATCTACCCAAGTCCACCAAGAGTGGGAAGCCCCACCAAATGAGATAAAGACCCCACCCTGATCTCAGCCAAAAGTATAGGATTAACTTTAAGTTGGAAGAAGCCTGCGTCACTGGATTGTCAGATACTTCCAAGCGTTGCAATCGACCTCGTCGTCTTCGTCGCCAGATTGAGTTATGTGCAATTTCTCACAAATCGTCGTCATCGTCGTCGATGTCGACGTCTTTCAGCGGATGAACAGAATGTTGCCCGTGGCAGCGCAGGTGGTCACCATTGACGACACTCCCGCCTCACGTCCCCACCACATCCAGTTGAGCGGTACTTCCAGCAGGATTCGCCGAAAATCCATTGATTATGTTAGAATTGACGTTGGGTTTGGGAATTTTTGATTGACAATTGTTTTGCAGGATTGGTATATTTGAGAAGCTCTTGTCCGAGTGTAATTCGTGAGAACGGTAGGTATGATGAGATTTTTCTCGGCATTCAGCTGGAAGTAGCTAATTCATGTTAGGGATGGTGGGCTCTGGAGCCAGAGCATGGCTGCTACCCACCACCACCTCCATATCCGTGACGTCGCGCAGCATTGCATCGACAAACAGCTTGAAAGCTCGCCCTTGTTTGCTGTTCGCATCTCTGCAGCAGCAACAGCTTGGACGACAAGGACTCTCACGGTGGGCTAAAATTTCCCCGAGCAAGAGGTGGGTTCCCCTATCCCGAATCCTAATCTTCCCGGGCACATGATGTCGACAAGTTTCTTGCAGCTGCAAAATTTTGCGATTACACATATTTTATTTCAACACAAGGAATACACGCAATCTCAGGAACTAGGCGATTGTATATGTAGGAAAATATGGCGCAGACCGGTTATAACTGGTACCTTAAGCACGAGCGCGACTCCCAGCGGCGGAGATCCAGGCGAGCCCGTGGATCAGGGCGCCTCCAGCCTTGGAAGTACGCGTCTCGGAAGACTTATCTCCGTGCGCAGGCGGGAGCTTCTGCAGAGATGGAACACGGTTCGGCGGAACTTCCCAGCCAAGATCTTCCTCCTGCTATTCGGATTCTTCTCAGCCAATGCGTTGGCCACCATCTTAGGACAGACCGGGGACTGGGATGTCATTGCTGCTGGCATTCTGGTTGCCATCATCGAGGGTGTCGGTCACCTTGTGTACAACCGCATGCCTGCTTTTCTCGGCGAACGCGGCAAACCCATAATCGAGTTGGTGAATTACTGGAAGATCGGATTCGAGTTCGCTCTCTTCGTGGACGCATTCAAGGTCGGAAGTTGAGACACCGAGCCCCGGCAATCAAATTTTGACTCTCTTCCGAACGTCGCTCCACAATCCATTTCGAGTCTTGGCATTGACGTAGAATTAACAACCTTACTCCAGATAATCTCCACACCTATCTTTCGAGTGTCGATGCAGGTATCTCCGCAGTATGTTTGCCCTAAAATGCGATCAGAGGCATTGAAGTTTATTTGAAGATTCGGCCAATTCATGCACTGAGTTTTGTCGATGTAAAATTATTGTAATTTATTTGTTGAGAAGCATCTGGTGAGGATCATCCCGTATTCCGACCCTGGGCCTTGCTCAAACTCCTTTGTTTCCCCGAGTCCCTCTATCAAATCTCTGTCTTGTCTCTTCGGCTTTGCAACCTTGGTTGTAGATTTGTGTAGTATCTAAAATGTATTATTGTCTTGTTCACGTGCTACTGAATGAGTTGGAGATGGAGTAGCGGCCAATGTCAGGAAGTCGATGAACTAAAAACATGTGTGTTGCCTGTGCATTGAAAAGCTGTCTTCCTGTAGGATTTTCGTTCATCACTGTAAACCACTGGTATGTAGTGGATAGTGCCCTCCTTTCAACTTTATGATTTGGGCTAGCACTAGACAGGCATCGAATGTCTGCAAATTTCTCGAAACAGAATATCTGGTGGCGATATCGAAATCTGTCGGTAGTTCCGGATATAATCTTCGCCCTTCGTTGCCAGGGTTCCTTAGACTCCAGAGAATTTTGTTTTGAAGAGGCGAGTATGTGTCGCTCGCCTGTTGCTTGTCGTTAGTGGAGCCGTAATTGCCCTAAATCTGTTTATCATTGTCCTCCACTCAGAACGTGGTAAATAACTTTTGGACAGTTGTGGCACGAACAAAGACTAAACCCTAAACCCTTATGTTGTCGTCATCGGCAGACATTACATGCACTTGCAGCTATTCGTTACAGTTCGGAAAACCACTTCCCCGTTTCAGCAGGGTTGCAGATCAGGAGAAGAGTGTAGCAGATCAATCGAGACAATTCGCCTTCACTTGTTTGTCTTGATTCCGAGGTGATGGATACTTAGAACTATCTTCGCTATTCTCTCGAACCCAATAGCTGGTTTTCAAGGCCCTTTAGAATCTCTTTCTGAGGTGCTATTCATGTGTTGCCCATTGTCGTTGGTTTGTTTCTCTTCATCCTTGCGGGAGCCACTATCTTCGATTGAGGCTTTAGAGGGTGGAGCTAATCGTATTGAACAGTTCAGCAATTAGTTGATGGTTTTACTTGCGTAAAATTGACCAGTCGATCGGTGGTTATGTGCACACTTGCATTTAGTATCATTGAAGAACACATATGGGTCGGGTTGTGCTGGGAGTATCTTGCAGTGCTAGAATTACTGAACCAATGTGCCCTGTTCTGTATCATGTCGTCTTATCATCGTGTAGTCCACTTTCACACCAGTGGTGGACTGTTTGCAAGGTAGTGAAGAGGTCGTGCACATGCAGTAAGTCATCAGCTTTTGAAGTATCAAAACACCAAAAGGCAGTGCACATTGGACATTATTGAAACTCCGATTCACAATTGGAACAATAGTGGACTAGGCCGTCAATTTTAAATTGAAGTTGCTCTACGTACATACTCTGATACTGCCTTCAATCAGTAAAGGGCAGAGATGAACGCCCATTTGCCATTAATCTAGAATCTTTCTTGCCAAATCGTAAAGTGCAGCACCACCGTGATGACAACCCGGCATTTTCTTTGCTACATGAAGCAACTCATCCTGGAAGACAAAACATACAGTGCCTCAGGACACAAGTGACATCAGCGACTGTCTAGGAAGGTAAAATGCAACCCTCATCATTTCCTGCAATAGGAGCAAACCCAATCTAGCCACTACCCCACATGCGAGCCTTTTACCACGAAAAGACATATTCGATTAACAGAGGCAGGTACCTGAGGCACCAAAAGAAGGTGGGACGACTCAAACCCATCTGCTGCACGAAGATAATACGCTTGAACTTGAGAAGACGACAGTGCGCACTTGATAAAGTAAAAGGCAGTCGGTCTCACATTTAATACACGGCGAGAAATGCCAATGAATAGTGGCTCACTCTGCAGCACCACAAAAGTAAACATTCAGATAATAATTCGTTTCGCACTCATGCTTTAGTGCTCTTCCATTCAGATGCCAGAGAGGTCGAGGTGTGATCCGCACAGCATTTTGAGAGCTGTTATAGATTGACAAAAATATCTCGCTACTTAAGAAAAGGACGAGACCTCGAAAACCTCGGAGGAGCAACAAAGATGGACCAAATCATGTAATGGGAATCAATCAAAGTCTATATGACATCTTGGATTCATTAAAAAAGACCAGTGTTCACCAGAAATGACGCAGGTATGCCGGTCTCTTCCACCACTTCACGCGTGATGCCCTCGAACATTTCCCGTGCAACTTTTGCTTCTAAAGCTCTTTTTTCAGTGTCTGAATTGCTGTCAACATGGCCCTTAATTCCTATCTCCACTGGCTGCTCAATTCATCCCAAATCGTTTTCCCATCAGAACAAAACTTAGACGTACAAATCACATGACCTGGTGAGACAACGTACCTGAAACTTAAACCCTGACTACAAGGTTAGAGTTGCAAACCTCAGAGTGTCCACCTGGAAAAACCAGGGTGTTGGGGAATTCACCAACATTAGAGCCGCGTTGCAGGACTACAATTTTGTGATCAGCAGTCTTCACGATAGCTCCATTTCCTAGAGGGCTAGCTGTATGTCTGCATCTGGCCGCGTCCTCTACATATAATCACATTTCATTGATGTTCAGTACATGGATCGTAGGGACGCCCGCTAAGTATTTCGATAGGTAATAAACTCATTAAGCTTCTTGACAAATGGTTTCAACTAATGGCAACAATGCTGAGCGGTCCCTCACCTACATCAGGGGCCAAGAAATGCTCCCAATGAGGGCACAGATTAGTTCCGACAAAGGTTCTGCAACAAGAACCCGATACATTCCCCGTCATCATACTGAGCCTGAGACACTACTGATAACAGTAAATAATAAGGACACTGAGACATATTGAGAAAAATATTGTTAGGTCACACTTACTTGTAGTCTGTGAGGCCCAAATGCAGACGTGCACTCGTGGCCCACGCCATTTCTTCGCTGCCCGTAAGAATCTCATAGCCTCCGTACTGTAGAATGTATCAGAACATTATAGTTACGCACCTTTATTACTGAAGATAATAAAATAGATGAAGAGAAAAACGATTACTTAAATGAAACAACACTAGCATATGAACTCAGAGGCTACTCAGGAGGAGGAATAACCTACTCTGAATTTGGAGCCATTGAAAAAGGAAGGCTGAACTGCGAGTCGTTCCTCCCACATCTGTTGATTCCAATCCGCCAGCCAACCCGTCAATAACAACTGGAAATGGAAAACCCCCCAAAAACAGACCAAACACAAAAAGGAGAAAGAAAAAAGACAACCTTGAAAGTTAGGCATAAGTTGCCAGTCAAAGCCAATGTATATAGCTGAAGAGCTGTGAGCATACTACAAGAGGTTACGTCTAACATCCAGCACATTCATTGTCCACATTCATGGAACTGTCTGCAAGGGATCTTTTTATTCATTGAGTAGCCAGGTCTGATGCAAAGGTGGAAATACTGTTTGAAATTGCCACGAAGTGAAGAAGCTATACTTTCTCAATGGAATTTTCAAGTGCGCTGTCTGGGTGGGGTTGCCGATCATACGCCGGACTAAACTCTACTTCAAGCTGCACACATTAGCCAACGATATCAGTAGAGTTCACAAGGTATGCTACGATAAAAACCGACATTGACTTTTCATTGATTAACTTAAGAATAAGATCGTTCACGAAATGCAAGAACAAAAATTCTTTGACTACTTACACCTGGATTGTGTAATTTAAGTGCAGGAGAAGATAGCAGGAAATGCTAAAGCAGCAATGTAAGAGATTCCTGAGATATGTGGGCATTATATCTTTATAATATAGCAGGAACCCTGACTATGACACTATCGGTTTACATGTAGCACATCAATTAGCAGCTTGCAGAATGTTAGAATGAAGCACAAACTTGGGCCTCGAGGCAACACAGAGAAGCTCGAAGCGTGCCCACAGAAGTGGCGCCTTGATGGCGGCGTGCGAATTGAGCGGTTAAAGTGTTGCTCTAACAGAAATCTTAAGTGTGGCAATGATCAAAGTAGAAAACCAAAGACTTCGGAATTCAAGACAAACCATTGCTACGCCATTTTCAAAAGGGAGAAGGATGCCAACCACAAAATATGCTTACATCCTGCACGAGGTAAGGATCCGAAGAGTCCACATATACAAATAATGTATCGAATCTGTCCAGCAAACCTAACTTGAGTTTTCATGTTCTGAGGAACGGATAGAGGGCAACAACAGGAGGAGCTGAGTACCAACGATGCAGGCACGCCCGCGGGGCAGGCCAACAGCAACTGATAAGCACCGGCGGCTTGCTTCACATCCTCAATCCCTGAAGCAATAGCAGCTTTCCTTCCAGCTTCCTCCATAGGAATGGCTCTGGAAGTACTTTCGGCCATCACTCTCGATCGGTTGCAACTCACCAGAGATCCAAATCCTAAAACCCAAAACTCCACAAACGCCTCTCACAATCCCCACAGAAACCCTCGCCACCTTTCAAGCAAATACACCACACAAACACAAAATCTAACAGACCCAGAAGGCTAACAGACCCAGAAGGCTCCCATGACAAGTCACGACATCGGCTTCACGTCGGCAAAGATTCCTCTGCCGTGCATACAGCTATGCCACATCGACTCACACCGTAAGATCTCTCACGTCAGGAATTGGCGGAGCCTGCTTCTTCGCTGAGTCTCTGGATCTTCGGAGGACATGCGCACCTCGAAGAGAAAAATTAGAGAGAAATAAATGGAAAGGGGATTCAGATGGGTATGGGGGGGGGGGTATACACACCGTGGCTTCGAAACCTGCAGGGTATAAAGATCATGGTATCAGTAATAGCTAGAGCAATTTTTGACTCGTGGCAGTGTGCTAACTTCAGCCGCAGGCGTCGTGAGAGTTCCTCGAGGATGGAGTGAGGAGGGCAGGGCTTAACAAAGGTCGAGATTCAGAGTTGCAGAGGAATTGAAAGGTGAATTCGGAGATGTCGACCTCCCCGTCGCCACCCGCTAGGGCACGCGCCACCAGCGATACCCACCGTGGGCACGGCAAACGAGATTCTTCCACTTTGGTTTCGAGGCGCAGGCGACGTGATTCTAGCAGTAAGCACCGTGATCACTACCACGAGCGAAGCAAACGCCTCACTTCTAGCTCTGATTCTGCTTCGTCGTCTACCTCCTCGTCGTCCTCGTCCGATGAAGGGAGCAGCGACTCGGGTAGCTCCCAGAGCAGTAGCAGCAGCGATGGGCATCGCCGGAAACGTTCTCGCTCCCGCAAGCGCAAGCATCATTCTCAGCATAGGTGGGTCAGAATCTAGAAATAATTTTTTGAGGGCTTTTTAGGGTAAGGTTGGGCGTTGTTTGTATAGCCTTGAGCCTGTTTAGATAGCTTCTTGGGATACTATTTTTTTTAAAACATTTAAGGCGTTTTTTGTAGGCTAGAGTGATAGATTGAAAGTTCTTAACAGTATATTGTTTCCTCTTTTGGAGTGTCGAACGTTAGAATCCTGTGTTTGTGGTTTGATGCACGATGATGGCAGAGGTTTTCCAGTTTAGGGTTTGGCGATCCATCTTAGTGTTCCGGTTATAAATTAATTTCTGTGCGTTGCAAGGGTCAGTTTAGGGATCTAGGCTAAGTGGTTTTTGTGAGGTCTCTAGCTCTAGTCATCCTGCCCTGAATTTTGTTGAGGTTCATTGGCTGTGAAGGTAGTCTGTACTAGATCGTGTATGTATTTCTATTCGGCGATATAGTGTCGGTCGATCGTCGAGCACTGTTGAACAAACTCCCCTGCCTGTGGCGTAGCACACATACGTACTTTAATTAGTGTCATACCTTAATGCACATGGATATGTAGTTCGCGTTAGCTTAATCGAATCCGTATACCAATGAACCTTAGTGTTTTAGGACATGTTCAGGATGAAGACAAATTGCTGGGATACTTGTGGATTAACCATCCTTGAGGACTGTCTTTTCATCTTGATCGGCGTAGTCACTCACCTGTCTTCTTGGGGTGCTTCTAATGCCTCAAGTATACTGTTTGCCCTAGACTGAAATTAATATAATGAGCTTTCAGAATTCTCAATGGGTTCATATTAGAGCGCCACACTAATATTTATATTGTTCTCCTGTCAGTTAAGAAGCTGTATCCTTCCTTCATAGATGTATGAGCGTGACGTAGGAGGTCGAAGGGTCTGGTTTTCTAGAAGTTGCACTTAAGTCGTGCTGTTTTTTGCGTAACAATAAATGATCATGATAACTTTAAACAGAGTTTGTTGCATTGGAATGAGGCTGCAGGGATGTGGAGAGCTCTAGCGACTCTGACTCGGATGGCCCAGAACGGTCCAGGAAACACCGGCGGAGAGATTCTTCGAAAAAGGCATGTGACTCGTTTTCTTTGTCTGTCGTAGGTTTGGAAATTGAGATTATGACGGTTACTTGGGCAGTTTGTTGCTCTGGTCAACATAGGGGCTGACATCTGCATACTGGCCGAGTTTGCTGGTTCCATACAGTCAAGTATTAATCAGGATGCTTCAGTAAGTTTTGTATCAAGGTCTTCCGTTGAATTACTCTTCATTGGAAGTCTGTGATACGTTGGCATGCAATTGTATCGCAAATTTCTGTTGCTTGAAATATTGGCAATATAATTTTTACCTGTGAAGCTCGCTTTGTTTACAGGTGAAGGATGTGAAGCGGAAAGAGAGCTCGAAGCATAAAACCAAAAAGCACAGACGAAAAGAGGTAAGCCTCATTGTCGACAGCTTACATCAGGCCCATAGTCGCAGTAAAATATCTTTTTGAATGCATGCTTGATTTGAAAACAATCAGTCGTTTAGTTATCACTTTTCATATTAGTGAACTTCGAATCTCTGGTAACGACACTGATTTATTTATGCTGCCTGCTTGTGAAATGGGCCATTCCGAAACTGGAGCTGCGGTCTGCGACCTGGTTACTCCCCTTGTTTTTACCTGCTGCTTTGAATGGCTGGTCATTGTGTGCTGCTGCTGTCGGCTGATGTGGTTCGCTTTCTGGCGTTCGTGTAACTTTTCATAGAAGTCGAATAGAAAAGATGGTTCTGGACCTGTTCAGCTCTCGAAGGTACTAATTGCTGACTTTTCTGGTATTTTACATCTGTCTGTTGTGTAAATTTAGAGTGTTCCAAATTATTTTTAGTAATGAAAGAATTGTTCTCGTTGTTTGGCTATGTTTGTGTAAGCAGTTCTGCTCTTGAACTCGTTTCTTTTCTAGCTTTAGGTACCGGTTAAGGTTATCCCTTTGCAGTTACATGCTGATACTGTTTTCCTTGCACTGCAGTTTCTTGGACGAGATAAGGATAATGGTGTTCGCAGGAGTGTAGTCTCTGGCAAAAAGGTATGTTTGTTGAGTAATGCGGTCCTTCCAGCATATTTGAGGTGCATTTCTAAAGTTCTGAAAACCAAGAATTATTTTAGTGGAATCTGGCTCTGCTTGTAGTCCTAGGAACCGTGTGTTGTAATGTTTTAATCCATCTTCTGCTCCAAGTTAGTCATGTAGATATAGCCAGTGTTCAACCGCATATATTGTACCAGTTCTACATAGTGTGTGTATGTGTATGTATATAAATATGTGTTACTACGGTTTCCTCTTAATTCTTCAGCTCAAGCTCTTGGTTTGGTTGGTTCAACTTTTGCATCCACTCTTATCTTAGTTAAGAACGAAAAGCTTAAGGTCTTGGAATTATTTAGAAGCATTCCACCACTTGTTGAGTTACTGTTTATTTATTTAAGGATATTTTTTTCCCTATACAACAATGCATTCTCTTGAAGCAGCTTGTCTGTCAAGTGTGTGGGTATGGCAGATTCAAATGAAGGTGGAGAAGACCAAAGAGGACAAAGTGGCCGAGACGAATCGCATGGAGTATCTGAAATTTCTGAACTCCAGTTACGACTGAACCATCATGCATTTATTTCAGGGTTTGAGGGCGTTGAGCCCGAGTTTACGTATGCGTGGAGATGCTTACTAATAGCACGCAACTGTGTTGCGACTAGGTTTTGTTTCCTGTCTCTAGACTCTCATCCTATGTTTGTCGTAAGGTTCCTATTTCAAACCAAAACAATGTCGCTTTGGGCTAATCTTCTGAGAGCCCCTATCCTCACCTCGCTGGTACTGGGCGTCATTTATCGTCTTCATCTATATATATATGTAGCGAAGTCACTCTTGAATTTAACGAGTTTTACAGCAGTTTGGCTTACTGCTTTCTTGACTGGCCAAATGTGGCGTTGTGTTGGAAAAATAATGTGTACCTGTTTTCTCACAAATAGTATTGTCAGGTTGCCGATTCTCATAGGAAGTTGGCAGTTATCATGCACGTCCTTCTTGAGAATACGAATACGTTCCACCATCTTTTGCGATTGTGTTGAAATGAAGGTGAAGTAGACAGTAAGTCTTGTGGCTGCAGTGGTACATTTGTGTACATGGTTCTTCTTGTTCACCAATTAACTCTGGTATCAGTTGCATCTCCAGCTCACACGACCTACTGACATTTCGTATAGTTAAACTGATGCAAGCCATGGTCCAACCACGACCTACTGACATTTGTAATGAAAATTGTTTAGGATCTACTGATTTGTACTCGAGTACTCGCATACCAGAGCATTATCAACAGCCCGAAGGCAATCGTTGGTATTCAAGAGAAGCAGAATCACACGAGGAAGTCGCCTCAGCAACTCCGCTACTTCACGCAATGAAGCTGCGGCGTAATCCTGAATCTCGTCCACATCCTCCTGCTCAATCGAAAATTGGAGGTGATCGTGGGATTTGTCTACCACTTTTCGCCAAGGACGCATCGTCATAACTGATGCAAACAATGTGTAATCTTCTCCGGCTCCCAGTTTCAGGCTGTAAGACTCGATCCCATCCACGTTGGCGAAAACTAAAGACTGCAAAGATCATACCACATCACGCGTAAAAGCAAACCAAGTGTGGTTTTTTTTTATTTTTAAAAAGGACTTTTAATTGTTGTGTCCATTGATCCCAATCTCAAATTTCAGACGAAGTGGCAGGAGATGACCTTCCATAAACCTGCATAATTGGCACGAAGCTCAGGAACCAGAGTCTTATGCAAGCCATGGTCCAACAATATCAATTGTGGAGTATTTTTAGTACCTGCGGAAACATGTATTCCAACACTGTATATATAAGTGCCTTCAGAAACTGAACATAGAGAAGCTAAATTCATGAATTGGTCTAATCACTTGTATGAAAGCACGAAATAATAAAAAATAAAAAATAAACATTTTCTTCCAAAATTTGAAGCCAAACGGTTGAGGGAATTACTCGTCGAATGTTTCATTGTATTCTCGGTACTTCAGAAGAAAGCTTTCGCAGGGTGAGTGTCAGTTACGTAGATAAAACAGATTAGTTACCAGGTTTAACTCGGAGCATCATATTTGCTGCATGAAGATCTCAATGCACAAATCCATGGTGAAAAATCATCTCCGCAAAAGTCTCGCTAATCTGCAAGTTAATCGATTTTCATAATTGGAGACTTAGGCTCAGCAACATAATTTCCAACTATGACGAGAATTTAGCAAAGAAGTTCAACGTCACTTTTTAAGTTTAGGTTCGTACCAATTCGGCAACCTCTTGGGGTTTGATTCCAACTTCTTTCATGGCTTTCGAATCCGAAACGGCCATGCCGCCCATGAATTCCATGCACATGAGACGAGTGCTAATTTCCCAATATACTTCAGGAACAGCTATGTATGGTGCAATAGGAGGAGACATTTTCGCAATTTTTTTGACACATTGCTGCGCATTCTTGCCTTCCCTCATGAAATCTACCTCCTGAAGAGAGTAAGAGCTTCAATTTATGCTTGTATTCTATTGTCATGTGAAACGTCATGGACAAAGATTACAGTCAGAGAATTGAAAAGACTCTTCCTAGGTGACAAAATTTAGTCAGAATGTATCATTGAATTCCCGTCTAGCTTTAAAGATATAAAGATAACATCTATATGAATGTTTGGAATGATTATCTTAAAATAAACATGGAACTTACTTGAGGCAGACTTTCTTGCATTTCTGCTACTAGCCACATGTTGTCAAGGCACTTATTCCTTCATCAGTGGTACAAATCTTTTCATACAAACTCAAAATATGCTCCCTGACGTAAAATACAGTTCAAAGAAGAGCTGTGTATATATATATATATATATATATATACAGATATGTGTGTGTGTGTGTAATGCTGACCAGGATGATCCATGGTTCATGCCTGTAATCAAGTTCAGGGAATAGCCTGTGGCCAACATGAACAATGAAGTTCACCGTATGGATGTCCGCTTGTGATGTGTCTGTCAAATGCGTATGTTGCACCTGTCAACCCGATAGTTAATGTATGATACAAAGAGTACTCCCATCTCAACTGTTCTGAGAACCGCTACTTTCAAGTGAACTCAAGATTCGAAGATCTAGAGTTAGATAAAACTCGCTCTGCTAAAAGTCTGGTAATCACAGAACTGGATACATCGTTGGACTAAATAATATCACGGAAATTTGAAGTTCAATTAGTACATATAAGACTCACCTTCACAGCAACTTTTCTACCATCAAAAAGACGAGCTAAGTGGACTTGGGCAAGTGATGTACTGGCCAGAGGAACCTTCGAGAACTCAGCAAATACCGCCAGGAAGAAACAAAAGACACTGAACTCGGTCACTGCATTAAGAAACAGTGCGGTCACAACATTATCAGATGAACAAAGTACAGTGTTATTCTTCTCTGCGATTTAAATGAGTCAGTGCGACCATTACACATTTATCAGAGTGCAAACTAAACTTCACTAAGTTCCAGGATATGAAGGCAATAGCAGAAGGTACATCATTGGGATAGAGACCAAGCTCAGCCATAAATACGTCCCGAACTTGCTGGATCGTTTGATTTGGACACTTGTTTAGTGTTGAAGATCGCATGGTTTGAACAAATTCATGAACCAGCACACAGAGTTCCAACCGTCAGAATTCTAAGGAAAATACCACATAACTTTGAAGACTTCGGACAGTGAAGGCTACCGTAGTTCCAAAAGACCCAAACTTCCATGTCTAAAAATAACGCATCAATAATATTCAAGTTTCGTAATTTTATGGCAAACAAATAAATCACCAGTTGACCAATGTATTGGCCTAACTAGATATAGATCCCTCCATTTTTGAAAAACAGATTCTTCAACTTCTCAGCATTTCGATCGTGCACGTGATGTCTGGCATTCTCCATCTCAACGCTTCCTTCCGTGATGCCCCATAACATATAAATATAATCTGAAATGAAAACAGTAAAACTTACATTCATTACCTTCCAATCGACTAACAATCCAAGAATCGGGGCAATTCTGTCATCCATGTCAATGTCTTAGCACAGTAATCCATCTCATTTGGATTTCCTTCGTATCTGAGAGTAAACAACATACAGTCGAGCAGCTCTACAGAGACATTAGTCTTCCTTAAGGTTTTCCTTTCGAATTCCTATTATATGGAGCACTTTCGGTGGCATGATACTGACGATTATTCTACAATTGCCATTGGTCACTGAGGTTGAGCCGAAACGTGGTGACCGCTTCTCAAATGGTATTAGTCGAGAGATCCAACCCAGCATGCTACTGACATTGCACTGCTGAAGATTAGTGTGCGCCCTGTAAGGGAACTCCATGAGCGTCTCGGAGCCTGAGCCTGCTGTGGCATTTGCGTGCAATCGCAGCAAACGATTGTTGGCAACATGGTGACAGCCTGTTTGGCAGACCGCAAGTTCGGAATGCTCTCGACAACATTACACGTCATTGCAGTATGAGGCAATAATGTCTGCGGTGATGAGAGCTGCGCTACTAATCTAATTTTGCAATCACGGCGATTTCAAACTCATTGTCATGGCTTAGCATGGGCTTCATCGTGGAGGGGAGACCCTTGGTAAATCAGGGATTTTTGAAACTCTCTGAAGTATCCCACCTCCAAGTCTGAGTTGGATATGCAAATATGTATAAACAAATTTTATTGTAAATGAAGAACTCAGAATCTTCTTAAGCTCAAGCGTAATGAACAGCTTTCTAGGTTTGCAAATAAACGTTCCACGTTTAGTGACCAAAGGCAACGACAAACACCTGCAACAATCGTCCCGTCTCAGCAGGATGCAATCACCAGACTCCTCTCTGCATCAAGCGTCAACACACGGTTTCCTTCAACAGGCTGATGAATTTACGTACAGAGATTGAGACGCCAGGGAAATGCTACAGCAGCTTGAGTATGTATAATGTAGACGCAGCATCACACTCGTCACCAAACATGAGGTCTAATCTTGTTGATAAACCTAATTCTATGAGATGCGTGAGCAGCAAACCCATACTGATCGAGAATATGTTTCAAGAAGTACAGCAACTGGTTTTAGGACAAGTAACAGCAAGGAGTGTGCAAATTCTCTTATCAACACTGTGATCATTATTTGCGTCGCCTTGATGAGCATGGATTGGTTCACGACGAAGAACAACATCCATGTGAGTGATGGCACTGCCTCATATCTATGCCAATGATACCATCTACTTCAAGCTGAGGCATACTGGAGACAAACGTATATTTAACGTACTTTCAACTCTAAAGGTCATTGCAAGCTTATACATATTGAACCACCTTTACTTCACGAAAATTTGGCATCCTGTCACCACTCTCACAGTCTAGGATGTAACCAGCAAAGCACAGAATCCAACACGTTGTGCGGGGTCTAGGTGCATCGTTTGCAGAAATCTGTCTTCCAGAACCATTGAAAAAAGACGGAAATTGAGTTGTGCAGTAAAATCCTAAACAATTACAGCAAGTAGTTGGATATGGTGGTAGTCGAGCTTGACAAAGCGCTATTTTGCTCGACATCGAGCTAATTTCGAGACTCAATAAACATGCACCTACGAGACAGCAATACCGCAAGCCATAGCCCCACTCACTACAAGTACAATCGTTTTTTATTATCTCTCCATGTGTTCGGGAAGTAGATTTCGGCGGAGATGCATTGCGATTGCCGAACTTCCTTACTCTGATATACCTGTACTCACAAGCAGTGACAGGTTGGCACAGCATATTCGCTAAAGCTCTAAAACAAACCCTAAAAGAAACTGCCGAGACCTGGCCAAATAGAATTATATCCGGAACACACTCCCACGGTAGCGGCACACGCGACGCGCCGATCTGGAGGTTGGTAGAATCTTTTTTGGTTTATTTTAGTAATTTCTCTATCAAAGAAACACCCGCGAATAAGGTGAAATGTTTCTAATCAGGAAGGATGTGTTTCTTAATTTAGTATTTTCGGATGGAGCTCTAAGCAGGCGGGAATTGGTAGAGTGGTGGGGCTACATTAGATCCTGGTGGGCTCAGTAGTATTTCTGCTTCTCTCGAGGTCATTGTCGTTGTCGTTGTCGCAGGAGGAAGCTAACTCGCTTAGTTTGCAAACTTGAACTCCGAGCTCGGTTTCTAGGGTGTGCGTGCTTGTCGATTCATCCTTTGGTGAATTTGGAGAGCCGGCGAAAGAAATGCAGAAGGCTGTGGGTGTTTCTCCTCTGTATTTGGATTCGTTGTGGTTCAGGTTCAGTCGCTTTGCGGATCCCATGTAGCGGTCTGCCATGGCTGAGCTCCGCCAGGTACCGAGACTTTTATTCTTATGCGTTCTCAACTGCGCCTCGGATTGTATGGAGTGGAGTTTTGAAATTTTCGTCTAGAGATTTCAGCTGGAGATGAAGCTCTGTTCTAAAATCTCTACGATTAGGTCTGTGGCGTGATTATTAAGAAACCGCGTTTCCATTGTCGTATTATTGTTGTGTATATGAGTGGTAGCGATGATCCTCAAGAGTCTCGTATATCGTAGTTGAGGAAAAAATTTAACTTTGGATTCGGTGCTTGAGGAACTTTTTTCTGTCCGCATTCTGGAGCGCTTTTCTCTTTGCAATTGCATTAGATAGGGTTTTGATGGCCTCATAGTTACGTGCCGGCAGGTGTACCAGTAGAATTGGACCTTCGGTCGGTTCTTTGCAATTTGTTGGGGGGGTTTCAGAGTCGATTCTTTTAAGAGTTGTGAATGTCAGAGGTTTGTTTAATCCAAACGCCTCGGCAGTGAAGATCTTTCTTTTTAGATATGGCACAGGTTATTACTACATGATTTCGTCACCCCAAGTATAAATAATTCTGAGAGCACTTAGTCATTTTGTTTTTTTAGTTGCTGGCAGGCAAATGCTTTTTGAATTTAAGCCTAGCGAAGCACAGCGCACGTTCAGTGCATTCTCTTAATGTCGTTTAAGATGATTAAATGCATCTCCAAGTTTCACATATACACCTTTGTGCTTTTTTGCTATCTTCAAGGTTGTTGGAGGTTAAACTATCTTTCATTCTAGTGACTGCATTTTGGTTTACCTGAATCCTTGGATGTCTTTGGCTGGGCTTCCCCGAACTAATGGTTCAAATTGCTGTATTTCGTTTACTCGTAATATCTGATTAATTGTTTCAGAATATTGAAAGAGGGAACTGTTGGAATAACATCGCAAGCTTAATATGTCAAGTTGAAAACAATCGCGCTAGCAGATGAACATGGAATGTGTTTTCGTGACCAGCCTATGTACTCTGATTTCAAGCAAGCTTTGTTTCGAACCTGGAACATTTGCGCTTTTCAACCAATGGATGCATCATGTTCTTACATATTCCGAACCTTCTAATATTGATAAAGCGTTTAGCTGCATATTAACAGAGAGAGAATATGATTCCTGAACACGATGAAAGCCGATTATTTGGCCGGCGAGCCTGACGACAACTTAGTGGATATGGCGGTTGCGATAACAGGGTGAATTTTATTTGGCACTAGTCAGGAGCAATTTGAATGTATGGCGGCCTCGAGCAATTCCTGGCTTCATCAGAATCTACTACCTCAGCATAATGCACAGCAGCAGGGGTCACCTCATCCTCTATATCATCATTCTGAGCTCCCTCATGTTGGTTCCTCACAGTCGGGTCCTTTGCAGCACATGAATCTCGCGCATGTCGGCCATGGCATGGATTCGCATCCCCCTCTTCACCACGGCATGCACTCTGCTCTTCACATGCCCAGAGAGATGCAACAGCAGCAGGATCCTCACATCCCGGTGCATGTCGGCACTGGAACCAGGTTTGCACGCTCTTCATGTCCTCGAATGAATATGATCTTCTTGGATTTCAACTAATCAGCAACGAACGTAGAGAGTAGACTTAATTGTGCATTCCTAAGCAACTGGGCGGCAGTGGAAGAGCTGTAGGACCATCTGAGAATGGAGACGCTGCGTCTGTGAGGAAGGTGCATAAGGCCGATAGGGAAAAGCTTCGGAGGGATCGGTTGAACGAACAGTTTGGGGAGCTGGCTGGAGTTCTTGGTAAATATTCGAAAATACTGAAAGACTTGTTCTTACAGTGGTTCTGTAATTTCCTCTGGGAGTGAAAAACTATCTATCTAACTGTTGAATAGTTTCATTGTCAATGGTCGACTTAGTTCATTGATAAGCTCTATATAACTGAGAGAGACTATATCTTATAATCGCATTGCACTAGTTAGTGCCATCTCTTGGGACAATTATTGAGGAAGAAATTCGACTTCTGAAGTGATTGTTTGTCGGTGCAGATCCGGACCGTCCCAAAAATGACAAAGCTACCATCCTTGGAGACAGTGTCCAAGTGGTGAACGAACTGCGGTCTGAGGTCAAACGCTTGAAATGCGAGCAAACGGCTCTTCTAGATGAGTCACGGGATGTGAGTGGCCATTTTTACCTCCCATGCATGGTTTCACCGGCAGGTGAACCTACTTCATAGATAGATTTGAAGTTAAGAGCACTTTATATTTCCAGTCTCTTCCATACCAAGAAATCAATGATACCCTTCGCTATTAATTGTATAGATTTTAGTGGAATTGCGGCATGAACTAAGCTTGCTACATTCATATGATTATCATCTTCTTCCAACTGAAACAGACAGTACAAATCTGGAATTGGTTTGGCACACTGATTGGCTGACTTCTTTTTCTTGCTCTACAGCTTCAACAAGAGAAGTCGGAGCTTCGAGAAGAGAAAGCAGCGCTGAAGTCGGAGACAGAGAATCTCCAAAACCAGCTGCAACAGCGTCTTCGTGGAATGCTGCCATGGATCTCCATGGACCCTACCGCAGCTTTGATGGGAGCTCCCCCGTATCCCTATCCCCATCCCATGCCTGTACCGCAACCCCCGCCTTCTCCACCTCCTTCCAGCACTCCTCCAGCTTCCGAGTCTGCATCAGGTTTGACAACTTCCCAACCTTCTGTAGTTGGACCTTCCCCTTTCCTCTCTCTTGCACCTCCAGGCGTTTACATGCACCCGTACGCCATGTACGGTGCCCGATCTCCCGATGGAGGACACCCTTACATGCCCTACCCTCCTTACCCTGGCTCCGTTGGCAACCACTCGCAAGTCGAGAGGCCGTATGCGCAGTACCCTTCTCCCATTCCGACCATGCCTGGCTACTTAGTCCAGATGCAGCCACCGCCACCGCAGGGCCCCGCCAACGCTTCTGCTGTGCCCATGTATAGACCTCCGCCACCGCCATATGCTGTCTCAGGCATATCTCTTGTGCCGCCAGGCCATCAACCCAGGGTCCCTCCTCACAGTACTAATCCGCCTATAAATGGGCCGCAAGCCGCTTCTCCTGAGCCACATGGAGTGGAGACCAGCTTACAGCTTCAAACTCCGGGAGGGTCGTCTCGCTCTCCTTCGACATCAGAGCTGCCTCCCTCTCAACGCAGTGGAGAGCCAAGTAAAACACATGAGGTACCGTGAATTACATCTTTCTGTAAATTATTCAACTGTGCACAATCGTAAGCACTACTTTTGGTCACAGACCCACTGGTAGTCTGATTTGATTATTTCGATGTGTTAGATTTTAAGACCGTAAGTGGTATCTGTGATGGCTTTAATCCGAATTGGCGCAGCGAGCAGACTTGGAATTGACACCACCTGGCACGAAAGAAGCAAGTGATCTAGCCGGATCTAAGCCAGATGACATCAATGGCGGAGATAGCATTTCGACGCTAACGCTGGTGTCCAAATCATTGCAGTCTCGGGCGGATGCTACCCCTTCACCCTCTGGAGGTGAGTGTGCCTGGTTTGTTAACTAGTCTAAACATTTATTGTTAACAAAATGTTATTAGTTAACTAGTCTAACATTTTTGACATTTAGTATATGACAATTGCTTGAATTTTTTTAAAAGGTTATCTTGCACGGCATTCTTGGGCAGACAAATGTGTGCATAAGCCTGATTGACAATGATGGTTTTAAGCTGTTATGAGATTCCCATGATCAGGATCAAATTCAGAAGAGGGTCATCTACGTGGAAGTACTCTGGAACCAAGCCTAAGATCAGCTGAGCAGCTGCCAAAGCTCTGATATGCAAGCATGAACGCATTGTCATATACACTGTAGAAAAACTGCAGTGGCAACATTCATTATGGAGACTTTGAAGCTGGTCCTTTGAATTAGCTAGTTGGGAGATCTTCTCTGTCAAGTAGTTGCTTTCATGTGGAGTCACTGCCTTGGCACTTTTGAGGATTCTCATGGTTTATATCTCATTACGATACCTCACTACTCTGTGCTATTAGAGCCACTGTCATGTTGAGATTGTTATATCATACTAGGCTGAGTACTTTCAAATCAGTTCTCTCTCTAGCCAATTCTGGTATTACCAGTGATTGAACTTGTTGAACGTTTTTACGTATTTGCTTCAATTAGCGCCTCTACACCATTTTCTCTTTCACCGAGTTTTTCCCTCGATTTCCCAATTTTTTTCAGTTCTTCGCTGTGGCTTATTAGTTTAAACTCACCATCTTAATTTGTGCCAGGTCCATTGATGCAATTATTTAGTAATATGGGGACATTAGACAACCTCAACTACTGTTAGATGATAGAAAAAGTGGCTACAGATGAAATCCTATTTTTGCATTAATACTTTTATATTCTGAGCTGGTCTTCTTTTCAGGTATGGCGATAGTTTAAGGGGATTCTTTAAAAGAACGCTGTCTCGCTTACACAAATAATACGATTGGGATGTGTGCTCTTTTTGAAGCTATTAATATTTAATAATACTTTTCATTATCAATATTTTATGTGCTCTTTTTGGAGCAATTCAAATAAAAATGACATTTTTATCTATATCATTTCTTTAAATTGACAGTTGTTCCCTTTTTCCTTTTTTGGAATATGATATTTTAGTTGCTAAATTCTTTTTTAGAGACTCTTTCCAAACCTTCTTTGTAAACTTAAACAAAATTTACAGGACCTTGTCAAAACTTCTATTAAAAATCAATTGTGGCATATCTTCCAAAAAACCAAAGTAGTTTCTAATAAAACCCTAACCTAACACAAAAGAATTTACTAACTCAAGTATGCAATAGATTTTTAATCCTTAAATCTATTGATTTTAGATTTAATTAAGTTTTGTAAAGTATAAAAGAGTTGCACAAATTCTTTGCAATATATTTGAAATGTAATTGTATTCCAAGATTTCTCAAGATTAACTTTAATTTAGTACAAAAATTAAGGTTGAATCCAATTATCATTTTAATTATATTTAGGAGATTTAGAAGCTTCATCTTTTTTCCTTTTTATATCCTGCTTTTTTCCTTTTCTTTGTCTTCCTGAAACAATGAAATTAAAAAAGAAATATATATATATATATATATATATATATAGCGAGAGAGAGAGAGAGAGAGAGAGAGAGAGAGAGATTCATCCAATCATTCTTATCAATCGATTTACATCTTTTTTTGAAATATTTTGTGTAATGTAAACTTCATTAAATCAAATATAAACTAGCTATTTATACATTTTGCAAATGTCAATAGACTATCTACTTATGCACAATTGATAATGCTGAATGTCTACATTCTAAAATTAGAAAATGATACCAAGCACAACCTATTACCAGAAAAGAGGAAAAATATTAGAGGACAGAAGGATTCAATTACACCTGAGAACAGAAGAATTATATATATATATATATATATAGATGTGCGTGTGTGTAAAATTCTTCAGGAAAGATTGTTACTTCTGACAAGTTTGATCACAACTGACAATGTTAAATTTTCTGAAGAGCTGCAAGTGTTTATAGAAAATGTTACCAACCACAACCTATTACCAGAGAGGAGGAAAAGCATTCGAGAACACGAGGATTCAATTACATCTGAGCAAGAAGCAGAAGAAGAAGAAGAAGAAGAAGAAGAAGAAGAATTGTGTTCGCTCAATTGTGCGTTTTTCCATTTTTACTTTTCCATTCAGAGTTTTCATTCAAGTTGCCCAGCAGGAGCTCATTACGAAATGCCTGGTACTCTTCCAGGGACGTTTTCGCCCACTGCTTGCAGAAGCAGGAATCAGTAACTGCTAAGGATTTCATGGGGAATGGCCCACTGGGCACTCTGTTGAGGGCAGCGAGGAAGCGATGGCGAGGCTTGATCCGCTGCTGCAGTGACAGGCTGAAGTACGCTGGGAAGCTGGTCACCGTGTGAGGCCCTCCCTGCAGCTCCTCCACGAGATACTCGTACTTTGGCTTCAGGCAGTTCTCGATCGAGAGTGATAGAATCTGCGGGGTCACACCAACATGAAAAACATCTCAACTCAGCTGTCTATAAGAAACCCACAGATCCAACACTACCAAGATTTAAAAATCAGGTTGTTTACCACTGCACTGCACCCGCAAAGTATGCTGAAGTAGGATGCTAGTTCCATTCACAGTGAGATACCATTCTAGCATTGTTAATCAGAGAGCATGGCGTTGAATAAAAAATATTGTTGACATGGGCGACTTGTGAAATTGGGGATTTCGTTTCCCTGGAAAGATATATATATATATATATATACAAAAAAAAAAAAAACGGCCATCTAGACATCCCATGGTGCCAATGTGGCTGCCGGTTCATCCTCTTTGAAAGAAAGACAAAAATCTAACGTCCCAGATTCCAATCACTCATCAAAGTTCATTTTCGAGCCATTGCTAATACGAGAGCATGCAAAGTGTCGGCTGTGCCGGTACCTGTGTGAGGCGAGCAAATACTTTGAGGATGTCCTCTTTAGAAAGTCCAATGCTGTGAAGATAATCCACGCGGGGGTTCATGCCATCCTCCACGCTATAATGGAGAAGTTGGGGATGACGAGTCACCATCTTTGCAAGCTTCTCCTTCGAGACTCCCATCTCGACCATGAAAAACTCCACTCGCGGTTCCAGAGAGTCTTCGATGCTTTGCGTGAGCACCTGCCAAGAGCAGAAAAGCTTCATGAGAAGGATGAAGCACACAGAAGCAAAGAGAACTTGAGATTCACGGAAAATATATAAAACCGCGCACTTGTTGTGCAGGAGAGATTTTGTGTCTGACCTGCGGACTTCGTGTGACGATGAGCCCGACGTCGGAATCCTTGATACCAACGACGTCCTTGAGATACTGCACCCTGGGTTTCAAGGAGCGCTGGAGGCTGCACTCTAGTAAGGAGGGCGCCACAGTGATAACTCGCCCCAGCTTGGACTCAGGCACGCCGATCCGTTTCAAGTACTGAATCCGCGGCTTCATCGCGCGCTCCACCGTGTACTCTAGGATCTGAGGGTGGCGTACGATGAGCTTGCTCAGATTCTCGCTTTCTACGCCCAAACTGAGAAGATATTCCACTCGTTCCTTTGCCATGACGGCGTTTGTATGCAAGCACGTCTTGTGTCGCTCGGCAATCTTTCTAAAGTCGGTTTCACTGAGCCCCAGCTGGTGAAGGTAGCTGAGCAAGGGGCGGAACTTGGGCTCCAGGTTGAGCTCATAAGCCAATTTGACCAACGCAATGTCTTCTATGTCTCCCTTAACTGATTTCGTGGTAACGGCGTTCAACTCTGATGACTTTGTTCCAGAAACAGGTGGTGCTAGATGTTTATTGTTTGGGACCTGCGAGGCTTTTTTCTCCATTCGACGAGCTCGCAATGCCGCGGACTCTCGCAGTTTTTGACGTCGAATAATCTCATATGCTTGCTCCTCCCATTCCTTGCTACTCAACGACTTTGAATGCAGTAGTGCTGGTGACTCGTAGAGTGCGTTCCTGCCGCTTGTACCTGGAAGCATAAAGAGGATGTTACACGTTTCCGTCGTCTCTTTACAACATCAGAATCACACATGCTTTAACATTGGAGTCACTTGGACAATCTCTATGTTTCATTGAAGCCACGCAGGCCGATCGTGATCATTGACATGATAAGGTCAATTGATTGAGTTTTCGAGCTGAAGGACGCCATGGAAACTGACATTACCTGCTACGGACGAACGCGTAGAGAATGTCGCGGCAATGTCACCGGACGAGAGATTCTCAAGCACAGATGGGGAAACAAGTTTCACTTTCCGAGGAACTGCTGGGGTGCTCTTTTCAGCTCTCTTCAACTTGATTCCCAAATTCTTGAGTTTACGCTCAGCCTGCATCGTCGTCGATTCCGTTCCTTTTTTATCTCGCTCCAATATTTTTAACTCCTATCACTCACACTTGCAGCGGTAAACAACACAAACCAACAAATATGTAGGGTTTGTCTGACTGCCAGGGTTTAAGGTTTTACAAGTGATGTGACAATTGAGAACTATCCTTACCACTCTCATTCTCTTCAATGGCACGTAAATTAAAGCAACAGATGGTGCGAGTATAAGTATACAAGATACAGAGTACAACGCCATGAACGCTTGCCTACACAAAAACCAAAATAATTACAAATCAATTATCGAATGTCTCGCAAATAAAACTAGGCGAATATGCAGACACTCACATCAGAAAGTAGCTGATTCAAAAGACTGCTGCCTTCATCCACTTCGTCTTCGAACTCGAAAGCGGGAAGCGTTTCACCGAACTGCGACCGTCGGTTGCTCGTCGCAATCGATGCATTGGATTGCGGAGAAGCGGCAGCAGCAGCAGCTCCTGCTAATACTGCTTCCTCCTTGCTCATTAGGAAACACTGCTGCGGGTGAAAACCTTGGACGGTTGCCAAAGGAGACGCTCTTGCATTGCTACATTGTTGTCCATGGCCGAAGTAATCTGGTTGGGGAGACAAACTCAGGGCACGCCAGGTCCCCGCCATAGCGCACACCACCCTCACCAACACACTGCCACTCCTCAAATTCGAACCAAAATTCAATCTCTCTCTCCCTCTCTCTCTCTCTCTCTCTCTCTCCCTCACTGTGCTGTATCACGACCGCAAGCTACCGCATCCAAGTTTCTCTTCAACGCAAATGCGGAGCTCTAGCGTCAGCGATTCCCATTTCAGCCCACTCATTTCCTAAGGAAATCTCGTAAAACCACTCAAACCCAAAACGGGAACGCTCCTCAGCAACAATGCGCAAGGAAAAATCCAACTCCAATGCATAGCTACCGAGCTCCCGGTGAGAAATCCTTTCGCAGTCCTGCAAAAAATCTCACACAATCTACGTCGCTAACCTCTCTTCTTCACCATCTCCCGCAATTGGCACCCACTACTAAAACAATCCCTTCAAACCCAACAATGGAGATTGAACCACCTCACACTCAACAATGGTTAACTGTACAGAAACACTCACAAGGCGCGTCAAATGCAATTGGGTTCTACGCAACAACAAACAACAAAGAAGATCAAAATAAAATATCAACAACAACAACAACAACAACATTGTCACCCACTCGAAAGAATCTCGAATCTGAGATTATCCACAACAAAACGATCTTCCACGAGGGGGTTTGCGACTTTCCTCGCTCGCCCCTATTGATTTCTACATCCATCCACATTCATCCAATACATTCTTCATCTACGTATCACCATCCATATCCATACACTTATTCATTCATCCACGTCCCAGTCACGATTCATTCGTTATACTTCTATAATATCTATATTTATTCGATCCGTTTTCATCCGTTCGTGTAATCATCCATTCAGCTTATTCTCATTCAGTATTCATCATATTGACGTCATTCGTTGACGGGAACATTCATCTATATGTTTCCGTTCGTGTCGGTTTTCATCTATTTCCACATTCGTCGAGATGATCATCGCTTTCACTTGGTGGGTATCTAAATTCATTCGTCTGAAGTTTGTCATCCACATCCACTTGTGATTAAAGTCACGTTGATGTCACCTCCAAAATTGAATCGTGGTTGGCACTGGCAGCGACTTTCGACCCAGTGGTTTCCTACCCTTCTCTTTGTTTCTGACTCTGTTCTTAGTTTTCGACTTCAGCATTCGCTGGATGAAATATGTCGTTGGTGGTTACTTCGTGGATGGAGCGTAAAATGAGGTTTGGTTCATGGAATTCGAAGGTGAATAGTGAAGATGGTTTTAATTGTGTGAATTTTAGAGGTTTGGTTCATGGAATTCGAAGGTGAATAGTGAAGATGGTTTTAATTGTGTGAATTTTAGAGGTTTGGTTCATGGAATTTGAAGGTGAATAGTGAAGATGGTTTTAATTGTGTGAATTTTAGAGGTTTGGTTCATGGAATTTGAAGGTGAATAGTGAAGATGGTTTTAATTGTGTGAATTTTAGAGGTTTGGTTCATGGAATTCGAAGGTGAATAGTGAAGATGGTTTTAATTGTGTGAATTTTAGAGGTTTGGTTCATGGAATTCGAAGGTGAATAGTGAAGATGGTTTTAATTGTGTGAATTTTAGAGGTCTGGTTCATGGAATTTGAAGGTGAATAGTAAAGATGGTTTTAATTGTGTGAATTTTAGAGGTTTGGTTCATGGAATTCGAAGGTGAATAGTGAAGATGGTTTTAGTTGTGTGAATTTTAGGTTAAACAAGTGAAGTAAATTCATGTTGGATAAGAGTTTGAAATTTTTTGCTTGTTGTTGATGATAATGCATGGTTGAAAGATTAAGTTTAGAGCTTGGTTTTTTATATGAGAAATATTTAAAATAGAAAGGCCTACTATATTAATTGGATGAGTTTGAATATGATTAGACTTTTTAGTGAGATAAATTATGTGTTGCTCATTTTAATTGATTTGTAAACTCATTTATACACTTTTGTTTGAAAAATATTTGTAATGTTTAAGTTTTGATAAGTTCTTTTACTTTATTTACTTTTTTCTATTTCATAAGTCAAATGTCCAATCAAATATAACTTTAGAGCTCATATTTTATTTAATAGTGATTTGAATTAAATTATCTTTATTTGAGATAAACTAGAAACTATTCAATAGCATTTTATGTGGATGAATATGTTTTGTATAACTATTTAAAAGAATTAATTTCAACCTTATAGGAGCAAGTCTAAAAAGACAATACAAATAATGCAATGATTAATGATAAAAAAAAAATAATTGTTTGTTGAAGTTAAAAAAAAAAGGTCCTAATGTAGAAGTTCTTTAAAAAATAAATCTTTCACTTTTCTACAACTTAACATAACAAGCTATATACATGTGCATTTCATATTGACTTTAAAATTTAAAAACAAACATCTTTGCAAGTTTATTTATTATTTTATCTTTGAAAAGTAAATTTATTTGTATATATTTAATGAGATTTATGTATCTAAGTTATGTTAGTATCAAATTTTAATAATCATATTATTCATAGAAACTTTTAAAACAAAAAATAAAATAAATGGATGTATTGTAATGTAATAAATTGAAAAATTAAAAAAAAAACATGTCAAGTTCAAAATTTATATTAAAAGACATTCAAAAGCATTTTTATGTTTTAAAGCAATGCTTTGGCAATATAAAATATTATATATATATATATATATATATATATATATATATATATATATATATATATATATATATTTTATGATTTAAACGTAAAAAAATAATAATTGAAATATGATAATAAAATATAATAATTAAAAAATATTATTTAATATATATGAAATATTTTAAATTTTAATTTTTTTTTGTAAATAAATAAGTATATACTTCTAAGTATAAAAATATATTAACAAAGTATTTATTTAAAAATTATATATAATTGTGAATGAAATATATAATAAATTTATAAAAAAAATCTCAACATCTTTTATATATTATATTTTGATTACGTAAAATTTATTTTAAGTAAAAATTAGACAACTATAAACATAATGTTGCTAAAAACAAGAATTCAAAGAAGATACATAATTAAATGAGATATGTATCAAAAAAAGATAAAAGAAATAATATATATATATATATATATATATATATATATATATATATATATATATATATTTCACAAGCATACATATTTATTCCAATAATTACCTACATGATTAGATAGAAGTAAATAAAAGTAGATAAATTTCATAATATCTTCTTGAAAAGCTTCCTAAAAGCTTCATAGACATGGTTTTGACTTTACTTATATTTGTAGTTGATTAGTAGATTAGAAACTTGGTCAACAAGTTAATCATGTGTCATACATGTTGGTAGCTTGTAGAATAAGCTAATTATGTGGTGCACATATAGAAAACTTATCTTACAAGTTAAAATATGCATCTTGCAAAATTAACATATGTTAGAGGTCCCATAGAACATTGCCGCATAACTTTTAGTTAGATAGTATATATGGAAGCAAGAGTGAAGCCTTCTCCGCTCTTGTCAATGCCTTTTTAGTCCTTAGTCTTCTTTTAAGACTTTTTGGTCTTCACTTCTTTGGTAATAGCCATTCTAATTTAATATTATATCATCTTTGAGTAATTATCTTGTCTTTTTGAGTGATACAAGAGTATATTGATCTTTTAGTTCTTTAAATTTCATATCTTTGATAGTTTGACAAGAGTAATAGCTTATTATTCTTATCTTATTTTAGAAGTGAATAGGATTATTTCACTTCTATTATTGTATTTTGAAGGTTACAGACTACCTATCTTTAAACAAACAGTTTAATTTTTTAATATTGATTTTTTCCTTAAAAAAAGTGGATTACCTCTCTTTATAGAAATTTTTATTTGATATTAGAAGTTATGGATTACTTTCTTCTAGTTAAACTTTTTGAATTTATTTGAGTTATTTATGGTAGGAAAGATTATGGATGATATTCTAAGTGGAAGTAAAAATAGATTTGTAATTATTATTATAGACATCCAACAAAAAAATCTAAGAATATTCTTAAAATATTTTATTAGATTTTATAAGATTTTATAAGATTCTAAAAATATTCTTAGAATATTTTTAGAATATTTTAATAAATTTTAGAAATTTCTAAAATAATATAACAAGTTGTTCAAAAATTTTCTTAGGATTGCTTCATCTTCAAATAATATGGTGTTGTATTACGTGAAGCCTTGCTTGAGAATGCACTAAGCATCTAGTTGTAGAAGGTAGAAGGTAGAAGGAAAATTACAACAAGCTTCTAACTCTAATAGAATCATAAATAACTTCGATTAAATCTTAGCAATGCTAATCAAGCTTTAATCAAATCCAAAGAAATCTTAAAGAAATTATGAAAGAAGTATAAATAAAAACCTAAAGAAATTCATAAAAAGTATTAAAATAATATCCTAGATATATCTTAAATAAATTTTAATAAATCTTAATTAACCTTAATTAAAATCCTAATAGTCTTTAATTAAATTCTAAATCAAATCATAACTAATCTTAAATAATCTTAAATCCTTAATAAATTCTAAATTCTAACCAATTTCTAAACTTTAAATCAAATCCTAAATCTTAAACCAAATCTTAATCAAATTTATCTAATGCTAGGGCAGTTTAAAACCTCAATATCTATCAATTATATTGTTGATCTTGCTTAAGATTTTACACACCTTTTAACAACTATGTTGGAAATAAGCATAAAAAATTTGAAGAAGATCAATCTTACCAAATAGAAGATCAATCCTAAATTCCACTCAAGTATTGGCCAACCTCCTACTCCAATTTCAATGTTGAAATTCTAGTGTTAATATCTTATTTTTGAATTATTTAATTGCTTCCAAAATTCACATAAATTTCTAGAAATCAAGTTTGGTCTCTATACAAAAAAAAATCATTTCAATCTAATTTACAAATTACTAAAGATCTTAAAAATATTCATTGACCTTTAAACTCCAATTTCTATGACCTCAACCTATAAAAACCTTCACACACTTTGTTCTAACTATTTAATTGACTTCAAAATTTGCACTCACATTTATAACTAGCACACCAACATTTTATCCAAAATTTACTAGTACACATATTACAAAACTCAAGAAACCCTCAAATGTATAAACATAGTTTTATTTTTCAAAATCTAAATCAACCAAGAATATTATTAATTTTAAAAATTCCTCTAAAATTGAATATTGACTCAATTGACATAAAATCAATGTCCATAAAATTTCTCTTTAAGTTTGCTCTCAAATTTCACTCTCCAATTTTCCAAAGAACTCCAAAGTTGCTATAGGTGCATGGTTTTGTGCCTCAAGGTCTGATTTTGATCTAGGTTGACAATTTGTCCTCTCTAATTATCAATATTTAGTAATTTGAGGCAATTTTTTTTAAACCTATTATTAATTTTTTTTCTAAATATATCTATATCAATTACTTATCTCATTTACTTTGATTTGAGGCATTCATGCTCTTACAAAGCAAATAGAAGCATCTTCTTTAAAAGACAATATTAATACTAAACCTTTTATTATCTTCCTATTATTTATCTTTGTTTTTCTACTATATCTTTCTACTAGGCTCTTACATAATAACATCCATATTTTTATTTTTTACCATATAGTCATATTACTACATGACAATGG